GGCGGTGGGCATGCAGCTCTTTACCCCCATTGCCGACAAGCTGGGCTGGGAGCCCAAAGCGGTGAGTTTTCTGAGAGAGAGACGTAGCTCTGTTTTTCTGGTTAGGTGGCCCCAGGCACGTTGCAGCAGAAGCCTCTCCTGGAGGCGGTGGGCATGCAGCTCTTCACTTCCATTGCCGACAAGCTGGGCTGGGAGCCCAAAGCGGTGAGTACCCTGGCCCATGGATACCCATGCCTGTGCTTAAATCGGCAGTGAGACTCCATGCTGCGGCCCCTGGTGCTGGGCAAGCTGGGCAGCTACCAGCACTCTCCCACCATCACAGAGTGTCAAGTTCTCCTTTTTCCTTTCCGTGCACCCTGCATTCTACCTTCCTCAATCCCCACCTCCCTCACTGCAGCGCCAGTCTCATCTGGACTCCATGCTGCGCCCCCTGGTGCTGGGCAAGCTGGGTAGCTACCAGCACGCCCCCACCATCGTGGAATGTGAAGTTCACCTTCCTTCTTTCGTGCGCCCTGATTCCCACCTCCCATGACTGACCGCAGGGCGAAACTCATCTGGACTCCATGCTGCGCCCCCTGGTGCTGGGCAAGCTGGGCAGCTACCAGCACGCCCCCACCATCGCCAAGTCTCCCCTTCCCTGTGTCCCACCTCTCCCACCCGTCCACCTGGACTCCATGCTGGGCAAGCTAGGGAGCTACCAGCACACTCCCACTATGTCAGGGTGTGAGGCTCACCTTCCTTCTTTCGTGCACCCTGTGTTCCACCTCCCTCGATCCCCAACCGTCATGAGTGCAGGGCGAGTCTCACCTGGACTCCATGCTGCGGCCCCTGGTACTGGGCAAGCTGGGCAGCTATCAGCACGCCCCCACCATCGCCAAGTGCCAGGAGCTCTTCAAGCAGCTCACTGCTGACGTCTCGTGAGTGAACCTGTATAAGTGGATTGGCTTGCAAACCCCATCCAATCCAAGAATTTACAGAGTATGCATCCCTCCATCCTATTGCCTTGGCACGCCCCCACCATCGCCAAGTGCCAGGAGCTCTTCAAGCAGTTCACTGTTGACGTCTCGTGAATAAACCTCTATAAGTGGGCTGGATTGCACACCTCATTCAGTCTAAGACTTTGCAGAGTGTGCATCCCTCCATCCTATTGCCTTGCCAGGAGCTCTTTAATCAACTCACCACTGACATCTTGTGAGTGAATGGCCTTGAGAGGCTTAGCGTGCATGCCTCATCTGTGCTAAGGGTGAGTGTGAGCATCTATGCCGCACTCCTTCGTTTGAGCGTCCATGCTTCGCATATGAAGGTGTTCTACTATCTCCCCCTTCTCTGCCGCCCCACCACACCACTACCAGCTCGGTCAACCCTGACCTGCGTCGGGTGGTCATGTCTGTGGCGGTGAAGTACGGAGGAAAGGCGGAGATAGAGGCCAGACCACTCTCTATCTGCAACTGCTCTCTCCTTCTCCCCCCCCCCTGTCTGTCACCCTTCAGCTCGGTCAACCCTGACCTGCGTCGGGTGGTGATGTCTGTTGCTGTGAAGTACGGAGGAAAGGAGGAGATGGAGGCCACTAAGAAGCTCTACAGGGAGGCAACCACGCCTGACTTCAAAATCCACTGCCTCGTTGGTACGTGCTTCTGGGAGTAACCTAAAGTACCAATCGTAGAGGCACTTGAGAAATAGGTGTTTGAGCGCAACACAGGAAATCATCTGAGCTGCCCGAGCCATTCTCGTGATGTGTGCAATGCTAGCAAGCTCTGCAGGGAAGCTCTGCAGGGAAATTCTAATGTGCTTCCCTTTTTTTATTTCATACTATCTGCTTCTTTTTCCACCAATGCCTACACATTATGAGCAGCACTTTCCTCTGTGAAAGACTGTGAGCTCTACAAGGACTTCCTGGCGTTCTAACTGCTATATTCAATATGCCTTACGTTTAGCCCTCCCATCCTCTCTTTTTCCCTTTTCACCAATGCCACCAATGCCTATATACCCTATGAGCAGCACTCTCCTCTGTGAAAGACCGTGAGCTATACAAGGACTTCCTGGCATTCGCCCTTGACGAGACTGAAGTGAAGGCGCAGGACCAATAGTAAGTCTCTCAGGATTTAGAGAATTCTATTCCTTTTTTCCACGTCAAGGATCATGAACTGCAAACGGATCATGCATGGGATTTCACGACTCTATGCACCAATCCATGTCGGAGGCATCATTTTCAGTCTCCTCCCTCTGTTCCCCCCTCTTAACACCCAACTCGGCTTTCTGTTCAGGCAAAGTCCGAGTTGAATGAACACCCTGCTTCCCCATCCTTTCCACGTGTGGTCATACCATGGAAAGCAATCTCTGAGTTATCGTGATCGCGGCAGGAAACTTCTGAGTCAACTCTAAATTCACCTCTGTTCCCTATCCTCCTCCTTGCAGCATTGTCTTTATGACCATGGCAGGCAATGGAGACAATTGGTAATCCGCATGGGAGTGTTTCAAGGATCATCCTGTTGGGTTCATCACCCCACTCCCCCCCCCCACCCCTGCAGCATTGTCTTCATGACCATGGCAGGCAACGCAGCCAATCGCGAGTTCGCATGGGAGTATTTCAAGGAACACTATGACACCATCCATGCTCGCTTCGCCTCTGCTGCTGCCCTTTTCAAGGTGAGCCACTCTATTAACCAAGTCTGTATACACCCCACCCCCTCCCCCCTCCTCTTGCCCCCCTTCCTCCGTGGCCGCTCCCCCATGCCATGCAACCCCTCACAGCATTGTCTTCATGACCATGGCTGGCAATGCTGACAACCGCGAGTACGCATGGGAGTATTTCAAGGAGCATTTCGATGCCATTCATGCTCGCTTCGCCTCTGCTGCTGCCTTGTTTGCGGTGAGGCCTTTTTTTCTGCAGTGAAATCTGTGAGGTTTTCTTTTTGTTTTCTGTTGTCTTCTCAGTTTGGTCAACATCTCATTGTCTTGTGGTTTGTGCATTATAAGGTCAGGTCAATACCTTGCCGGATAGCTGATATAGTCACCTTGTGACGTCATTTATGTTTCTGTTCTGGTACCCCCCTCTCAAAAACACAACCGGCGTAGCCACAGATAACAGGCCTGCTGAGGAATTTGTTGCAATTTCAACAATCAATCCATCTCTATTTCTTGTATCTTGCCAACACGTGAATCTGTTGCTTGCAGCGCATACCAGCTCTGCCCCTCAAGGGGTTTGCCACTGAGGACAAGGCTCGTGATGCGGAGGCTTTCTTCGCCGCCCATCCGGTCCCAGCTGCGGCGATGGAACTGGATCGGACACTTGAGACGATCAGGGCTCGTGCAGCATGGCTGGCACGAGATGGGGATGATGTCGTTTCTTGGCTCAAATCCAAGGCATCTTAGACAAATCTAATACCTGCTGCATCAAGGACAATCAGGATTGATGCCATCAGTAGTTGGGGTAATGGACTGCCTGGTTAAAAGATGGTGAATTGCGGCAATATAGATTTTCAGGACCAGCTACTGCCAGACCTCGGACAGAGGAGCGGGCGCATGTTAGGCACATGCACTTTGAGCACTGCCGCTCCACGGTTATAGGCGCAGTGCAAAAGTTGGAAGTCTCCTTCACAGGCGCATAAAAGCATTTTTACCTCCCTCCATTCCTTTATAACGAGGAAGGAACACTTCAAGCACCTAAACGCAAGCAAACACACGCCAATGGTGTCTCCAATGCGGCTAAGGGTGCATTCCTGGTTGGTGGCAGGGCAACTGTTCATCGCACTGTTGGTGGCAAGCGCATTGTCCGGCCCACTGAATTTTTGGGTACACTTGCCACCAACTCGATGTGAACAGTTGCCCTGCCACCAACCATGAATGCACCCTAAGTCGATGTTCCTGACCAGAGGCGGGTGTCGTAATTGCACGATTGAATGTGGTTCAGTAAGTTCCGCTGCGGTTCAAAAAGGTCAAATCATATTTATTCAGTCCACTTCCCTTCGGAATTTGAGGCGGGGGCGAGGTCAGCGCAGTTCGTTTCATTTCATCACGTGCGGTTCCTCTCGTTGCGTCAAGGTTTGAAACTGAAAGCCTGATAACCGCTGTGCACCGCGTGGAATCGTTTTGCGCAACCACAAATGAACGGTACGAATGTTTTAGGCTTCCCACATGAAATTCCGCTACAACCAGACTTTCTGGACTCCCGTCTTTTGTGCTTGAAGCTTGCAGCTTGAAGCATTTCCCAGTTTTGTACACGAGTTACCATTTCGTGAGAAGCTATTTGCTCCTCTACGTAGCTTGTACTCGTGAAGCGACCTCTACAAATGGCCACCATTACACGATCGCTGTGTTCTCATTCACAGCATCCACGCGCCTTGCTTCCACACAGACTTCAGCGTTTCGCATTCCGAATTTCGTGACTTCTTAGGGAACGAGAACGAGGCTCGGGTGTATTGTCCTGCCATCACGCTGCATATCAATAATGGCTTCCGAAGTCCTACGGCCGCAGGTTGGCTCTTCCCAATAATATTACTAACTTTCTTCTTTCGCATTTCATGTGCATTAAGTTGTGCTTGGAAAATATCCTGCTATGGTTCACGCAAGTCGTAGAAATTTCCGGTCAGTATCGTGTTGTGACAATTACACATCCCAGCTGTATTCCGAAATTGATGTCATGCTAGCAGGATGGATACAATTATTTCCGGCTAATCGCAATGTTGATTCAATGGAATGATTTTGTTTTCAAACAATCTTACCATTACTCTTCCTATCCGATTTATATTGCGGCAGGGATACGTGATAATGCTCTAATAGCAGCGCTTCGCAAGCCTTGACACGTCTAAGACACGTCTTATGCTCACCACACCCTTCCCTTCCGGTCCATCTCGCCGCAGGGAGACGAGACGATGCACCGGGAAAGGCGCCCCACACGAAACACAATGCGTTCAAGCTCTGATGCGTCTCAAATGCCCATTCTCACAAATTCCTTCTGATCCCTTCTGATCTCATCCATTTCGCGGCAGGACGACGCGACAATGAACCAATCAGACGCGTCGCAAGGGCCGCTAGACGGCGTGCAAATCGTCAGTGAGGGTACGCTGACGTACGATGGCCGCTACAGACGCTACAGCATCTCCGGAATCAACTTCGAGGTTCCCGTGCGCTACGTCCCGCTCTTCCCCCTTGGCCGAGGAGCCTATGGTGTTGTTTGGTGAGTCATGGGTATTAGAATGAAGCGTGACGCCAGCGCGACTGTGCGAATTATTGGAATGTTGAGTCAGCGGTATGATTAGAATCACTGGGAGCTATAAGAAAGCGATATTCTAGTCGTCATCACTAACTTTCATTTGAATCACATTCTTGACTCGTTACCACTCCTTGCTTACCGGACTTGAGTATTGATCTCACCCAATTCCGTTCACTTCTTTCCCCTCTTTATGATCGACCTATACTGAGCTCTGAGCGAATTTCTTATGAATGTCATTTTTGGAAATTTCACCTTTTCCTCACTTTTGGAAGGGCCTGAACAACTTGGAAGGAGATAACGAATATGGTTGTTTTTGCCTCTCTCTTTTTTTTTTTTTTTTTTTTTTTTTCCATCAGCTCTGCACGAGATGAGACGACCGGGGAGGAGGTGGCGATCAAGAAGATCGGCAACGCGTTCAACGACCGCACAGATGCCAAGCGGACTCTCCGCGAGATTCTGATCCTCCGCAACATGAACCACCCCAATGTGAGCAGACTATGTGGATAGATGAGCACTCCTAGGCACACACTCTTGAAAATTCAGATTGTACTCCTCCGCAACAGAACATCTAAATTGTGTTTGAGCTCATGCCTGCGTTGCTTTTGAGTCGACTCAAAAAACAGTCGCTGTGGTTAGGTGAGCACTCTCACACTATTGGAAAGTCAGACTGTGCTCCTCCGCAACAGAACATGTAAATTGTGTTTGAGCTCATGCCTGCGTTGCCCTCCCACGCCCATCCCACTCCCCTCCCATTCACCGCCCCCCCCCCCCCCCCCCCAGGTGATTGCCATCAAGGACGTCATCCGTCCGCCCAACCCGCAGAGCTTCCAGGACGTGTATATCGTGTATGACCTCATGCCCGAGGACCTGCACGGGGTCATTCGGTCCGGGCAGGACATGGATGAACGGCACTACACGGTGTGTGTGTGGGAGGCAGTTCAAGGTATTAACAATAGAACGTGAGCTGTGGGAATACAAGGTATGACAGCAGTTGTTGGGGTGCAATTGTGTATGAGCTCATGCCCACGGACCTGCATGGTATCATTCGGTCTGGGCAGGACATGGATGAACGGCACTACACGGTGTGTGTGTGTGGCAGTGCAAGGTGTGTGTGTGGCAGTGTGTGCCCCCTTCCCCTCCTCTCCCCAGCCCATCCTCTTCCAGCTGCTTCGAGGCGCCAAGTACATCCACTCGGCCAACATCCCTCTTTTCCCTTCCCTTTTTCGTTCTCCCGGCACAAAAATGCCATGTTCTACCCCGATCTCTTCCCCCTCCCTCTTCTCTCCCCAGCGCATCCTTTTCCAGTTACTGAAGGGAGTCAAGTACATCCACTCCGCCAACATCCTGCACCGCGACTTAAAGCCCCCCAACATCCTCATCGACGGGCGCTGCAACATCAAGATCACCGATTTCGGCCTTGCGCGAACCCGTGTGGAAACCACCGACCACCTGACGAAATATGTGGTTACCAGATACTACCGCGCTCCCGAGCTGCTGGTGAACAACCAGCAGTACAGCGCTTCCATCGACGTGTGGTCCGTGGCGCTCATCTATCTGGAGCTCGTGCTGGGGCACATTGTGCTCAGAGGCGATAACTACGTGGACCAGCTCCGCAAGACCTGCGAGGTGCGGCTGAAGGGAGGAGGGACAGCAGAGGGGAGTATGGGTAGGGGTGAGAGTGAGCAGGGCCTCCTGCTTCCTACAAGGCTTTCCTTACATTTTCCCCTCTTGTGCTTTGCTCCCCCAATTGTTCTCCTTTCACCCACCAGCTGATTGGATCTCCATCAGTTGAAGACGCCTCCTTCATAGTCAACGATGCCGACCGCACCTTCCTGCCCCCAGAGCTGCAGGGCTTGCCTTATCTTTTTCCCTCTTGTGCTTTTTTCCCCCACTTGTTCTCCATCTCCCCCTGCATTGCTGTCACCACACCAGCTGATAGGATCTCCATCTGCAGAGGACGCCTCCTTCATAGTCAACGATGCCGCCCGCACCTTCCTGCTCTCAGAGCTACAGGGCTTCCCCGCGCGGAACATCAGGGACGTGTTCCCCAAGCTGTCGGAACCCGCGGCTGACTTGGTGCAGCGCATGCTCGTGTTCGACCCGAGAAGGCGAATCACAGTTGACGAGGCATTGGCCCACCCGTACCTGGCGCACTACCACAAGGCGAACCAGGACCCGCCGCACCCAAACCCCTTCCAGTTCGACCTGAGCTTCGAGCAGGAGGAGTATGACATCCCCCGCATCCGCCAGCTCATCTTCGAGCAGGCCTGCGCCTTCAACCCCCAATAAATCCCCAAGTTTAGCTTTCAGTACACCCCATTTCGAGAACTGAACGTAAGGGAGCGATGTGTGCCGTACTGAACGGGTTGCATGTTGCATACTGTACTACTATGTGCTTCTGCGGGCCAAGACGTTACCAAGATGCTCAATAATCAAAATTCTTAGTTCTGTTTTGCACGGAAACATAGTTTTATGGTAAGATATTAGGGCGTGTGTCCTTGAGGTCGAACGTTTGCCAAAGTTAGAACTTCTAGAAAGGCTGTACACGGTAGGATACAGTTGAGAGTCGTGTCGCCACGGTACAAAGCGGTATTAGGCTCAAACTTTGACAATCTACACCAAAAGACACGCGCCCTTATGGTCGTTCTGGGGCGTCGAAACACCTACAGTCTCGCGTCAGCTAACATCGAGGTTCTCAGATTTCATGGTGCCCCCAGACAGGAGTGGGCCAAGCAGCAGTGATTTCCTACTAGTCATGCTTTCCGTGAACGTCAGGGAGGTCTCTCTCAGCTTGTTGTCGGGTTATCGCTGTGATTCTGCATTTCAGTTGGTAACATCGAGCTCTTGTAGACTCTGATTTGTAGTGTAAGCCGCAGTTTCTTTCTCTTAGCATAACCTACACGCAAGGGAATGCCGAGTTCGCTGCTGGCCTGTCGTATGCGTGTGGAAGGATGCGCCTCAATCCACGTTTTATTCCGGTGGCTTCAAAACCGTCGTGAAGACTTATCACCTCACGCATAAAGAGTTCGCAAGGATTTCATGAGTTCATTTCTCAAAAGGAGGTTAACAACAATGATTTCTTTACAGATGAAGAGGTGTGTTTATCCCGGCAAAGGCCTGGTAGCTTCAGCTATTCATCGTCCTTCATTTGTGAAGCTCAATCAGCCTAGCAACGTTTTCAAAGCTCCAGCTCGCCTGCATCAGGAGGGTGTTTATCGTGTCTGTGAAGCCAGGAAGATGAAATACGGCATGGCTGCAGTCGAATGCAGAGCGACGTCGACGAAATGTAATGCTTCTGACAACAATACTGGGAACGTTATTGTGGAAAACGAAGCAACGAAGACCTCAGCAAGTGATACTGAAGGCCTTCCTATGATTTATGACCGTGCTGGTGATCGTGAGCTCTTCCCCGTGGAAGGGTATCCTGGTGTAACTCTTAAGTTTCTCCGTCCTACAACGGCGTTTTTCAAGTTCAAAGCGGGTTTCATAGAGCCAGCTCACCATCACATCCTGACCCACGACGTATACCTGATTTCAGGTCGCCAGATTGTTCAGAATGTGACCAAAGGAACCACTCTGGAAGTAAACGCAGGAGATTTTCTGTCCACGCCTGGAGGAGACGTTCACCGTGTGCTGTACCTGACAGATGCGGAGCTTTTTGCCAAGTTTGACGGAACAGATGCCATGGCTCTTCCTGAGAATAACAAGATGGAGGTTATTGAGACTGTAGAAGAGGCTCGAGAAGCCTTTGGTGACTATATTCACCTCGTTGGTGAGAATTGAGACCGGTTGGGTACCATCTTGTTGATGCTGCCATGTATTTGACTCATTCCCTCTTGCAGGTGTAAATGGTGTTACCGTATGCTGATGCTGGAGAAAGAATTTGTACATCATTAACGAAATAAATGAGGAGTACCTAATCAGCTCAGCATGCAAATTGTGTCCAAATTCCCAAACCTGGAAATTCTTTCATTTTCCATATGGAGATTGAAATGGGCTTTGCATTTAGTTACTGTTCACTTTCAGCCGAGGCAATATTATAAGCGGAGCGGTCACTCACAGTACTTATTAAGGCAGTCCCCCGTTTGGGGGTTTGCGCCTTTCGGCTCCAAAAATTGCGGGTTGGCGCAAAGTAGGCGCCCGCCCGACCAATGAGTGCTCATTGATGGGATGTCAGCACGATCCGCCGTCCCATACGGTCATTGGCGAATCACCTCAATCCCTCGACAAGGACGGTAACCTAGTTCATTGTCGCTGAGGGAGTTTGTCCTGCGAAAGCTGATTGTGTTGAAGTACGTCGTGGGTTCTTTGTGCTGCTATGTGTACATGTGGCCCGCGCGATTTCACACCAGAAGCATGAACGAGATCGTAAAGGATTTGGCGCAAGAGACACAGCAGTTTTGCTTACACAACATCGGTTAGCGCTTTCGCACTTTTGCTGCTGCTATCGACTTCCGTGCATTCGCAAGAAGCCGTAACCAGTTCAGCTGAATCTTGAAGCCCTATTCTTCTTAAAAGACGTTCCCACTAATTCCCGTAGACCTAAGGCTACGCGACGAATTTCTCTCAGTGTCAGGGCAAGCTCACCCTTTCCGGGAATTACTGCCAGTCACCGCCATTAGACGACATTTTCACTGATTCCCGTAGACCTGTAGACCTAAGGCTACGCGGCGAATTTTCTCGTAGTGTCAGTGCAAGCGCAAAGACTCAATGTTATCAAGTTCGCCGTCGGCCTACTGCACGTGGCTACAGCGAACGATATTGTAGTAGGCTTTGCCGCAACTCCTAAAGCGGTTTCGCTACAGTCACCACTTCACTGCACTTGCAACTAGCTTCGCTGATGCAAAATGTCCTTTCTTCCTCTTAACCGACACTCCCACTGATTTCCGTTGACCTAATTTACTCAACTAATATCTCGCTAAGTGTCAGTGCCAGCACACGCAGTTTCGGCAGTCACCGCCAGTTGACGAAACATGCAAGGGGCGGGAGCGGAGGGTCCTCCGGTAGAGCGCGGGGGAGGGGGAGGGGGAAGGGGAGGGCGTGGCGGAGGCTGGGGTAGAGGCGGAGAGGACATGTCAAAGCGGAAAAAAAGATTGGTGGACCTCACGCCCGAGGAGGTTTGTGCTGAAGCTTGTTATTTGAAAAGTATAAAAAACCGCATCACTATATGAGGTGCCTCAAAGGTGGACCTCCCACCCGAGGGGGTCCGTGCTGAAATGTGTTTCTTGGTGGAGGTGTGGTGTGTGAGAGTGCAGCTCTCACCTGTGACTCACGTCACTGTGTGTAACCCGTTAGGTGTTCCTGATATCCTCGTTTTCATGGGCTGGCTGACCAAACTCCTTCTTTTCCTCCGTTGTCTTTCTTTCCCCATCTTTCCCTCTCTTTTCCCCCTGGTCGCCTCCTCTTTGGCGTCCCAACCCCCGTCGCTCCCTCCTTCCTCGTGAAATGAGCCGTGTTTTGATTCGACTCAAAACACGGTCCAAACTCCGTTCTCTCCTCCGATGTTTTTCTTTCCCCAACTTTCCCTCTCTTTTCCCCCTGGTCGCCTCCTCTTTGGCGTCTCACCGACCCCCCGTCGTTCCCTCTTTCTCCCCACAAATCAGTCACACGTGACTATCGCCAAATTGATGGCAGAGAGACGCAATTCCTTCTGTCCCTTCATCTGTCCCTGCCTTAACCCACGTCGCTTTGCCCCTCTCACCCTTCCTTATCCCTCAGATCAACGAAATTGTGGCATTGAGGGGGAAGCTACCGCAGGCGGTGGTGGGGAAACGGTTTGGGATAGAGCAGACGGATGTGAGCCAGATTCAGAGACTGCAAAAAGGGAAGCTTATGAGAGCTGATGACAAACCGGTAAGAAGTCAACATTGCTTATGCACTATCACCTTCTGTCTAGCGGTTTGGGATAGAGCGGTCGGATGTGAGCCAGATCCAGAGACAGCAGAAGGGGAAGCTCATGAGAGCAGATGACAAGCCGGTAAGGGACGAACGGTATAAGATGATTTATACGTTACAAACTGGTGGCTGGAACCGAACACACACAGGAAAGGCAGATCAAGGGGCTGCTGAAGGGGCGATGTGTGAGTTGTGACAATTAACGGGTGTGCTGAAGGGGCGATGTGTGAGTTGTGACAATAAACGGGTGTGCTGAAGGGGCGATGTGTGAGTTGTGACAATAAACGGGTGTGCTGAAGGGGCGATGTGTGAGTTGTGACAATAAACGGGTGTGCTGAAGGGGCGATGTGTGAGTTGTGACAATAAACGGGTGTGCTGAAGGGGCGATGTGTGAGTTGTGACAATAAACGGGTGTGCTGAAGGGGCGACGTGTGAGTTGTGACAATAAACGGGTGTGCTGAAGGGGCGATGTGTGAGTTGTGACAATAAACGGGTGTGCTGAAGGGGCGATGTGTGAGTTGTGACAATAAACGGGTGTGCTGAAGGGGCGATGTGTGAGTTGTGACAATAAACGGGTGTGCTGAAGGGGCGATGTGTGAGTTGTGACAATAAACGGGTGTGCTGAAGGGGCGATGTGTGAGTTGTGACAATAAACGGGTGTGCTGAAGGGGCGATGTGTGAGTTGTGACAATAAACGGGTGTGCTGAAGGGGCGATGTGTGAGTTGTGACAATAAACGGGTGTGCTGAAGGGGCGATGTGTGAGTTGTGACAATAAACGGGTGTGCTGAAGGGGCGATGTGTGAGTTGTGACAATAAACGGGTGTGCTGAAGGGGCGATGTGTGAGTTGTGACAATAAACGGGTGTGCTGAAGGGGCGATGTGTGAGTTGTGACAATAAACGGGTGTGCTGAAGGGGCGATGTGTGAGTTGTGACAATAAACGGGTGTGCTGAAGGGGCGATGTGTGAGTTGTGACAATAAACGGGTGTGCTGAAGGGGCGATGTGTGAGTTGTGACAATAAACGGGTGTGCTGAAGGGGCGATGTGTGAGTTGTGACAATAAACGGGTGTGCTGAAGGGGCGATGTGTGAGTTGTGACAATAAACGGGTGTGCTGAAGGGGCGACACGTTGGCGTAGCAGAACTGATAGTGTAGCTGGACGTTGGGATAGAGTAGCTGGACGTGAGTGTGGTTTTGGAACACGCAAAATGGCCGTTTTGTGATCCTGTCGATAAGTTGGCAAAGAGAGGACAGTATATTTACTCCATCCATTCTATGCTTCTGGGTGGTTTGAGAAAAAGCAGACCAGAACGAAAGGGTAAGCTTATAAGCGTCAACAATATGTTGTTAAGGTATTATTTTCCTTATGTTCCGTATTTTCTTGCCTCCATCTTCTCATACTTCCCTGGTTAAGCCTTCCCCACTGGAATAGTGCTCTTCCATGTTCGCTGTTTTCCCAGAGCTGACTCAAAAGTCATATTCCCAATCACATTCCTAGTTTTCTCTCTCGTTTCTTCCCCTCGTGCGTGTCCCTTCTTGTAGAGAGCTCGGGACGTGGAGGTGGTGCTGCCTATTGTGTTCGGCAGCTGTGCCTTCTGGCTGGGGAAGAAGGCCGATGAGTGAGTTGCAACCTACCGTTCTATCTTTAAGTCTTTCTCAAGATATATCACTCAGTAACTTCACTGGTCGTACCTTGTGATTGTTCAGCTTGCACAGAATATTTCATCTGGACTCACACTTGTTTGGCATAGTTCCCCTTCTGTATTAAACCTCTCTTCACCACTCTGTCTCCACCACCATCACCACCACTGGATATCCTCTCCGTACAATCCCATCACCAGGAACGCCACACACAAGTGGACAGTGTATGTGCGGGCAGCTGACAATGGCGACCTTGGTAGTGTGGTGAAGAAGGTATGCTGGTGCCAGCCAGAGAGGGCGGTGGGTTGATTAAGATATATGAATCACTGCTATGAGTGAAGGTTGTGCGGGCAGCTGACAATGGCGACCTTGGTAGTGTGGTGAAGAAGGTATGCTGGTGACAGAAAGGGCTGTGGGGAAGGTGCGCCCGTGGGCCAGGTAGGCCTGTGTGCATGCACCCAGTCTGCCTCTTCCAGAGAGTTTCTTAACCGAGTATAGCACCTTCCACGCCTTTTCTTCCCAATACCCCGATGACCAGGTGGTGTTTCAGCTGCATCCGAGCTTTTTCCAATCCAATCCGCATTTTTCTTCCCCCACCCTTTTTTCTCCCCAATACCCCAGGTGGTGTTTCAGCTGCATCCGAGCTTCTCCAATCCCTCCCTTATAGTGGAGCGGCCGCCCTTCATGCTGTCGGAGAGCGGCTGGGGCGAGTTTGAGATTCACACCTTTCCCCTCTTTCCGCATGTCGTAAACTCATGCTTCCTCGACCCCCCTCTCCTTCTGCTGTTTTTCCGAAACACACCTCCCTCCTGCTGTCTTTACCCTCCACATCCTCTCCCTACAAATACCCCAATGACCAGGTGGTGTTTCAGCTGCACCCGAGCTTCTCCAATCCGACGCGCATTGTGGAGCGGCCGCCCTTCATGCTGTCGGAGAGTGGCTGGGGCGAGTTTGAGATCGCCATGACCATTGTGTTCCACGCCGATGCTTCTGAAATGCCAGCTGAGCTGTGAGTTAACTTGGGCCAGGTTTTGGTAGCAGTTCTGTTTGTAACAACTCCGTCTGATCCACTTTACTTACAGGCTCTAAACATCTTGTTGCAAAAGTCATTCTTAGGAACATTATACTTGTAAGAATCTCAGCTGTCGGAGATTGGCTGGGCCGAGTTTGAGATTGTTATGACCATTGTCTTTCACGCCGACAGTGAGTAGGCGTGCCGGGAAATACAGTCATTCATCACCATGCCGCCCACCCTCACATGGCCCGAGGAGACTCCACTGCACTTGTTATTTCTTCCAGCACACACACTCTGAATGTGCTTATATGCGAAAAGCAGCCCTCTCTCCCATTTTAGGTGTCAATTTCCAGTTTTGAGAAATTGTCAACATCCAGTTTTGAGAAATCGTCCTGCTTTTTCCTCATCCTTTCCCCCATCCCTTTCTCTCAACTACTCCCCCTTACCCACTCCCCCTTTTCCTCCCCCGCCCAGCACCCATCACCTTCGGCTGTACCCAGAAGGCAGCGCTCCGAACCAGCCTCTCAGCACCAAGCGGCCTGTTGTGGCTGAGCAATACGATGAGCTAGTGTTCTGCGAGCCACAGGTACGGGTTAACTTATGGGGATCTAAAATGCAGGTAAGTGGTTTTTTGAACCATGGGTACAGTGGTGGGCAGCAGGTCTTGTTCACATGTTTTTTATCCAGTCATCTCAGATACCGTTCCTTTTATAACTGTGGTTCACAAACTGTGTTTCTGGCAACAACTTTTGTTTGAATTTCTGGTTTTTTTTTTTCAGGCGCCTCAAAAGCTATTTCTTGTAACTGTGGCTCACAATTTGTATCTAATAACCACTTTATGCGTGTCTCCAGATCGCGTTCTTCCATCGCATCCGCTCCAACCCCATGGTACGGATTCACGGCAGTGAGGAGGCCATCACCGCCGCTGGCAACCACACAGCGATACCACAAGGTAGAGATCACAATCTCAAATGCTTACACAACTGACTAATGTCCAGGAAAAAAATATCTTTGGATGTTTCACGCTTGAGCCCTTTTCTTTTCAGTGAATTTCTAAACATCTGGAGGTTGTGGCTTGTGACAGAATTTGAGACTTTCCCTGCTTTAATTCATAATCCACTTTTTTCTGCGCATCTTTGTGCAGATGGCTCCAGTTCGGCCCCTGCAGATGCACGTAACTTGGAATCAGATTTGCGAGGAGAGAATAGAGGGGACACTCTAGACCATCCGTTGTCGCAGTGGTTTCTGCAGTTCTCAGACGAACAAGAGCTGACTGCCATAGCTGCTGCAAGGAAGCAGGTAATCCTGTCATCAGACGTTTCTGCCATATTGGAAATGCTCAAGGGCTACCTGCCACGTGCTGCTGCCATGAAGCAGTTGGGGGTGAAGTGCACTGACTTCGGGGACAGCTCAGCAGTAACCTTGTTACAAACCAACACATCACATAGCACTTCTATTCCATGTTATTTATGCAGTCGCATTGACTCTATTCCTTTTCACTTGCATCTGTCTGTGTGTGTGGGCAGGTTGCCACACTGACGGCCAAGTTAGAAGCTGAATATGCCTCTTTTGAATTTGAGTGTCAAGAACTTAAGCAAGGCTCTAGTCAACCAGGCTGATGTGAGCGTTTGTGCCTGGCAGAGGCTTACGTTCACTTAAATCACAAAATGTTGCATAAAGGTTCTATTATGTACAACCAGTGGAGGATGCCTGATCCAGTCAAGTTATCAGTTCATGTCAGCTCTTAAAACCGGAGTCCCAAACAGCCCGAAACTGCCTCAACCTTCCTAACTTCGGTTGGGTGTGACCCAGTTGATACCGAGCTCTCCTCGCAAATTGTTGGGACGATTTTCGCCAAGCGAAATTACTGTTCAAGCGAGGACGATAGCGGTGACAACTTCGCAAACACATTTGCAGCCCGTCCGAAACAGTCAGCGAACGAGTTCTGACGTAGCATTCCAGATCTGGTTACACTTGCGACTTTTTCATACTTAGCGACCCGCTACCACTGATTTCGACACCACCCTGGCTCGCGAGCCAGTCACCTTTCTCTCCCCTTTCAACCTTCCTAACTTAGAAACTCTTGGACCTCCGGTTTTAAAAACCATTCGTATCATTCTTAAATGAAGGTAGGAATCATTCTTATCCATTGGTTTGAGAGAGTTTTGAGATTGTTACAGTGACGAAGTCCGCCAGAGATTCACAAATTGGGAAAATATGCCACAAGTAACCAACTTCGGACTCGATAACGTGAATGGTTAAAAAAAACGCGTACGGTCACTATATCCGGTTTTCTGACGGGTTTGGTAAGCGGGGTCACGGATTCAGTCACTAACAACAGGTAAAAAATCACGCGAATGGTCACACATGTAACTCCCGCCAAAAAAACTTAAAACTCAACAAAATTCCCGCTCGCGTCCAACCAATCTGCGAACTTGTTAAAAAACTAAAACCCAATCGGAATCGGATGCGGTTTGGGAACGGATCAACCCTAAACACCTAACAAGTTACGTGTTTAGGGTTGACCATCCGAAAATGCATCCAGGTTCTTTTTGGGTTTCATTTTGTTTTGGCAAGAGTTTCATCCGTGACCATTCGCGTTTTTTTACCAGTTGATTGTGACTGATTCCGTGAAACGCTTTATCAGTCGCGTGAAAACACCCTTTGCAGTGACCGTACCCTTTATTGTTTTACCAAAAATGTTTTTGAGTCCCATGATGGTTACGAATGGCATATTTTCCCTCACAAATTTCAGTGTGATCTGCCACTCAAACCGAGGGCACCAGGTTTCCCCTCGGTTTTCGCACATCCCGCGCGCATCTTTCCAGGCTTGGTGCGCTGGCGCTGGTGCCCTCGAGGTTGGCGGGTTTGACCACGCGCACATCCCGATGGTTCATTGCACACCCCAACGCTAGGAGTAGCCGTTGGATGCGATGACTTCACCTGGCCAATCCCAAGGTACGACGTGAGCTGCATTCCCTGACACAGATGTTTCAGGCGACCTGCCATAGTGCAGGCGGAGGGAAGGAGGTTGGCAGGAAATCCATTCATCAAAACTTGCATCCTTCACAGATTCGTGAAGTCCTCAGTGGTTTGTGTGTTCTAGGGTGGCTCAGAGGCTTTGCTATGGATTGGTCTCGTCAGGCTCCGTAGATTTTCATAGCCTGAACAAGGTCGGCTCGATGCTTGATCGGCACACTGCTTTCGTGCTGTCGCGGATCTCGTTCACTAACCTAAAATCAATCTCGGTTTCAGATCAGTTGCTATCAGGCATCACGATTCCCGCCGACCTCGTGTTTCTGTCACATTGCTAGGTGTATATCTGTTCCCCTCTCGCCTGGTACCGTGACTAATCGCCTTACACCATGGCGACGCCACAGCCACCGCAGACTGAACCCGGTCGGCTGGCCAAGCTAGTCGTCCCCACACTTGAGAAAATCATCAAGAACGCGTCATGGCGGAAACACCAGAGGCTCGTACAAGACTGCAAGGGCCTGATAGAATGGTTCGCGAAGAATCCCAACCCAGGCGTGGAATGGCAACCTCCGGCTCAGGACCCGCCTGGCTACGTCAATCCCTTTGACGAATCCGCTTCACGGGGAGGATCTTCTGGCGCAGCGTTTCCGGCTGGATTGTTCGACGATGGTAACCGGGTGTTGAAGATTAAGGATGCGGAGTTTATCATGGCGCCGCTTCATACGGCGTGCGAGACGCTCGCGGCGAAGGTGGTCGAGCCGACGCTGGATTGCCTCCAGAAGATGGTTGCGCATCAGCATTTGAGGGGAGAGATGGACGTTGGAGGGACCACGCGTGAAAGCAAGCTGCTGACGCGGGTACGTTGCTTAAGAGAAGACAGGAAGTAGAGGGGAGGTGAGCAGGAAGGTAAGGTTCCTTGCAAGGTAACTTCTGATGGAGTAATGTCACAATGGAGAATATCGATCGCAGATCGTGAGGGAGTATTTACACTAGACTAATGAGGTGCTCACCTCGAATTGATGCGGACATCTGCGATGGCTGTAAATCTGGCGAGATCACACAAGCTTCATCGCGAATTCCCTATCTGTGCGCTCTGAATGCATACATTCATGAATGGTTGAATGTGTCCGTTCCTTCGTGTGCAGGTCATGGAATCCGTGTGCAAGTGCTACGATATAGCAGACGAAGCAGTGGAGCTACTAGTCCTGAAGACTATGCTATCTGCTGTCACATCCACCTCCCTCCGCGTTCACGGCGAGTGCGTACTTAAGGCTGTCCGCACCTGCTACAACATTTACCTCGGTAGTAAGGTCCCCGTTAATCAAACCACAGCCAAGGCGTCCCTCACGCAGATGCTCGTTATAGTATTTCGGAGGATGGAAGCGGATTCGTCGACAGTTCCGGTTCAGCCAATCGTGGTCGCGGATTTAATGGAGCCCTCGGATAGGCTAGCGTCGGACCAGAATGTAACGCAGTTCGTTCAGTCGTTCATTACCAAGGTAGTGCAGGATATCGAGGTCGCTTTTAACCCGGCGCATACTCAATCTCTCGACGATGGCGCGTTTGACCTCGCAGTAGCACCCATCAACTCGGCAGCCACCGACGGAAGCCTAGTCGAAGATAAGGATATGCTAGACGTTAAGTACTGGGACGTGAACATGCTTGCAGGTTCAGTTACCGACCCAGCCAAGACTTTAGGCGGAGACGGGAAAGTAGTAACCGTGAAAGCCGGCGCGACTGCCGCTATAGGGCTTCCGCCAGGCGCCGTGGCCACTGTTCCTGTTGGTTCTAGCGCAAATGGCGCCGGAAATCCCGTGGGAACCATGGCGGGAGGCGGAGTGATCATTCCTGACGTGGATCCGGAGAAGGAGGGCGAGTCGGAGGTGAAGATAACGAACAAGCTGCGGCGCGATGCGTTCCTGGTGTTCCGCGCGCTGTGCAAGCTGTCTATGAAGGCTCCCCCGGCGGAGGGGGTGGTGGATCCGTTCGCTGTGCGCGGCAAGGTGGTCTCGCTGGAGCTGCTGAAAATCTGCCTTGAGAATTCTGGCGCTGTCTTTCGCACCAACGAGAGGTGAGCCATGTTGGGTACAAAGGGAAGCTCGTACTTTTCCCAAAGCCATTTATCGCATCTTCCGAGAGATAAGTTGAGTGTGGCGTTTTTCGAATGAGAGTTCAAATAGGGGTGGCATTGAAAACGAGAAGGAATCCTCCCACACAACCCCCCCATCATCTTTGTCCCCTGCTGTCACACCTTTGCGACAAGTCTGAAGGGGCAGTGAGGAAGTGCCCGTGGCAGGCATGTTATGATGCAACTGAACACCCCAACCCCACTGTTCAAGTTTACGCGTCACGTGCTCTTGCCCCTCAACCCTTCCCCTCAACTCCCTCGTTCACGCTCGGCTCCCGCTTTCAATCCCTCCCTTCCACCAGGTTCGTGGGCGCAGTGAAGCAGTACCTGTGCCTGTCGCTGCTCAAGAACTGCACGTCCTCCCTCATGTCCGTCTTCCAGCTCTCCTGCTCCATCTTCTTCTCCCTCCTCACGCGCTTCCGCTCCGTCCTCAAGGCCGAAATCGGCGTCTTCTTCCCCATGATCGTGCTGCGCGTGCTGGAGAACGTCGCGCACGCCAACTTCCAGCAGAAGATGATCGTGCTGAGGTTCCTGGAGAGGCTCTGCGTGGACCCGCAGATTCTGGTGGATATCTTTGCCAACTATGACTGCGACGTGGAGTCCACTGTCAGCATCTTCGAACGGTGAGCTGGGTAGAAGCAGATTAAGGGTAGAATCGAATTCAACGTAGATTCAGAGTCGCCTAGCCCCCCTTTCCTCCATTCCCTCCTCCCGCGTTGCATCCCCCATCAGCAATGATCCTCCTCACACATCTCGTGCACTCGAGCTCCCATCAACTACTCCCTTCTTTTTCATCTTCATCCCCCACCCTCTCTTGTACGGTTCAACCTTCTCCCAGGATGGTGAGCGGGCTGCTCAAGACAGCACAGGGAGTGCCGCCCGGCGCGGACTCAACGCTGAACGCGGCCCAGGACCAGCAGCTGCGCCTGGCCGCCATCAAGTGCATGGTGGGGGTGCTGCGCTCCATGGGCTCCTGGACCAACCGCCAGCTCTGCGTCACCGCAGGCCCCAAGGTCGCCGCGGAAATCGGCGCTGCTGCTGCAGCGGCAGCCGTGTCGGCAGCAGCAACAGCAGCAGCGGCTGCGGCGGCGGCGGCAGGGGAAGGGGCGGCTCCTGTGGCTGTGCCTGATCTTCTGTCGGGGGATCTGCTACCGGATTTTGTAAATCCCAGGACTGGGGTGTTGCCTGTTGCGAAGTCAGAGGAGGCTTTGGAGGAGGAGGCGCTTGGGGGGATGCCTGCGGCTGGGGTGAGCAGTGGAAATGAGATTTCAGAGGCTTCGATTCTGGAGCAGAGGCGGGCTTATAAGCTGGAGCTGCAGGAGGGGATAAACCTGTTCAACAAGAAGCCGAAAAAGGGGATAGATTTTCTGATCAAGGCGAAGAAACTGGGCGAGGGTGCGGAGGAGATTGTTGCGTTCCTGCGCAAAACAGAGGGGCTGGATAAGACGATGATTGGAGATTTCCTAGGGGACAGGGACGACATGAGCATCAAGATCATGCATGCCTACATGGACTCATACAACCTCTCTGTAAGTGGCATAAACGGCATATTTTCCCAAACAGTAGGTTGCACTCTGCTAGTGGGAGTGTGGGATGCATAAAGGTCATATGCAGGTGCGCGATACATTCCACATGAAGATGTGTAAACTCTCCTCTCCTCTCTCTCTCCTCTCCCTTCTCCCCTCTCCCCTCTCCCCTCTCCCTTCTCCCCTCTCCCCTCTCCCCTCTCCCTTCTCCCCTCTCCCCTCTCCCCTCTCCCCTCTCCCCTCTCTCATCTCCCCTCTCCCCTCTCCCCTCTCCCCTCTCCCCTCTCCCCTCTCCCCTCTCCCCTCTCCCTTCTCCCCTCTCCCCTCTCCCCTCTCCCCTCTCCCCTCTCCCCTCTCCCCTCTCCCCTCTCCCCTCTCCCCTCTCCCCTCTCCCCTCTCCCCTCTCCCCTCTCCCCTCCCCCCTCCACCCTCTGCCGTCTACCCCACTTACCCCCATTGCCTCGCCAGGGAATGGACTTTGACGAGGCCATTCGGGCGGTGCTGCTGGGGTTCAGGCTGCCAGGCAAGGCGCAGAAGATTGATCGCATCATGGAGAAGTTTGCTGAGCGCTACTGCCCTCTAGGCTTTGACAAGGCTCACTGGTGGCTATGCTGCTGGGCTGCAGGCATCTCAAGTGCCACTCACTAACACCTCCCTCTCCCCTCTCCCCTTTCCTCCCTCCAACACTTACCCCCACTCCCCTTTCCCCCAGGGAATGGACTTTGACGAGGCCATTCGAGCAGTGCTGCTGGGGTTCAGGCTGCCAGGCGAAGCGCAGAAGATTGATCGCATCATGGAGAAGTTTGCTGAGCGCTACTGCCGCTGCAACCCCAAGGCGTTCACCAGCGCCGATACTGCCTACGTGCTCGCTTACTCTGTGATTATGCTCAACACGGATGCGCATAACCCTGGCGTCAAGACCAAGGTGAGAGCGCGTGATGATATGATCGATGTAGCCCCTCAAAAAGCTGTCACAGAGGCGGATACAGCGTTACTGCTTGCTTAGTCTCTCGCACTCAAGCTTCATGCTCAACACAGACGCACCCAACACAACCCAGGCGTCCTTCTCTTCCACCCCCCCTTCCCTTCCACGCCTCCTCCTCTTCCATGCACCCCCTTCCCACCCATACATCCTGCTTCCTCCCTTCCCAGATGAGTAAAGCCGACTTCCTGAAGAACAACCGTGGAATCGACGACGGGAAGGACATACCAGAGGAGTTTCTGGGCGGGCTGTACGACCGCATCACACGGAACGAGATCAAGATGAAGCCGGAGATCCTGGGGCCAGGGGGAGTGGTGTCAAAGGCTGCAGTGAGCAGCGCAGCGGGCAACGCGCTGCTGGGGCTGGAGAGCATTCTGAACCTCATGTCGGGACGCACACGGGCAACTACAGAGCTGGAGACGAGTGACGAGGTGGTGAAGCACATGCAGGAGCAGTTCCGTGCCAAGGCGGGCAAGTCAGGGTGAGCAGCAATGGGGGAAGGTCAGGGTGAGCGGCAGTGTGGGAAGGTCAGGGTGAGCTCAGTAAGAGGGGGGAATCAGGTCAGGGCAAGTGGTGCTCAAAGGCTGCAGCAGTGAGCAGCGCAGCGGGCAACGCGCTGCTGGGGCTGGAGAGCATTCTGAACCTCATGTCGGGACGCACGAGAGCCACCACGGAGCTGGAGACGAGTGATGAGGTGGTGAAGCACATGCAGGAGCAGTTCCGTGCCAAGGCTGGCAAGTCAGGGTGAGCGTCAGTGTGGGAAGGTCAGTAGGTAAGCGTGGGCATGTTTCCAGCAGCAGCAAGGTTGGGAGACGAGCGACGAGGTGGTGAAGCACATGCAGCAGCAGTTCCTTGCCAAGGCGGGCAAGTCAGGGTGAGCAACAATGGGGAGCAGTCAGGGTGAGCAGCCACTGGAGGAGGTCATGGTGAGCAGCAATACGGGGATACCTGAATGCAGTTTTCACTTTTTTTCTTGCTTCACCTCTCCATCCTGCATCTCAGCCCCCGACAAGCATCCCTCCTGCTTCGTTGTGCCCTCCCTTATCTAGAATTTTCCAGATCGGTGTTCTATGCTGCCTCAGACGTGCAGATCATCCGCCCCATGGTCGACGTGGTGTGGGCGCCCATGCTAGCAACAGTGTCATTCATCTGTGCACGTTTCCTCGCCCTTCTCCCTTGACTTGCCCACCCTCTCCCTCAGGTCGGTGTTTTACGCTGCCTCAGACGTGCAGATCATCCGCCCCATGGTCGACGTGGTGTGGGCGCCCATGCTAGCAACAGTGTCATTCATCTGTGCACGTTTCCTCGCCCTTCTCCCTTGACTTGCCCACCCTCTCCCTCAGGTCGGTGTTTTACGCCGCCTCAGACGTGCAGATCATCCGCCCCATGGTCGACGTGGTGTGGGCGCCCATGCTAGCCGCGTTCTCCGTGCCCCTGGAGACCACGGAGGAGGATGCTGTCACGGAGCAGTGCCTGGAGGGGTTCCGATACGCCGTGCACGTCACTGCTGTGATCGGCATGCACGTAAGTGACATGTGAGGGAAGGGATGGTGAGAGTCATGTGGTATGGGCATGCATGGATGAGGAGGCTGTCACGGAGCAGTGCCTGGAGGGGTTCCGATACGCCGTGCATGTCACTGCTGTGATCGGCATGCAGGTGAGGGGCATGTGCGGGGGAACGTGAGGGAAGGGATGCTATGGGGCATGTGCGGGGGAATGTGAGGGAAGGGATGCTATGGGGCATGTGAGGGGGAATGTGAGGGAAGGGATGCTATGGGGCATGTGAGGGGGAATGTGAGGGAAGGGATGCTATGGGGCATGTGAGGGGGAATGTGAGGGAAGGGATGCTATGGGGCATGTGAGGGGGAATGTGAGGGAAGGGATGCTATGGGGCATGTGAGGGGGAATGTGAGGGAAGGGATGCTATGGGGCATGTGAGGGGGAATGTAAGGGAAGGGATGCTATGGGGCATGTGAGGGGGAATGTGAGGGAAGGGATGCTATGGGGCATGTGAGGGGGAATGTGAGGGAAGGGATGCTATGGGGCATGTGAGGGGGAATGTGAGGGAAGGGATGCTATGGGGCATGCGAGGGGGAATGTGAGGGAAGGGATGCTATGGGGCATGTGAGGGGGAATGTGAGGGAAGGGATGCTATGGGGCATGTGAGGGGGAATGTGAGGGAAGGGATGCTATGGGGCATGTGAGGGGGAATGTGAGGGAAGGGATGCTATGGGGCATGTGAGGGGGAATGTGAGGGAAGGGATGCTATGGGGCATGTGGCACGGGCATGCGGTGACGAGTGAGGAGGCTGCGACAGAGCAGTCAGATCCTGGAGGGGCACGCCGTGCATGTCTCTGCTGTTCTCGGCATGCACGTGAGGGTCACTTGAGGGGCCATATGAGCAGCATGTGAGGGATGGTGTGTTAGGCTGGGCCATGTGAGGGGCATTGGACTTGTGGGGGTGTGGCAAAGCACAGCTTACCTTGTGCATGTGGGGACAGTATGCAATTTAACTTGTGAGTCAATTGAAAGGTCTCCTATCTACTCCTCATCAACCTCCTTTCCTTTTTTTCACCGCCTTTCTGCCCGGTCCACCAGATGCAACGCGATGCGTTTGTGACATCTCTGGCCAAGTTCACATCGCTGCACTCCGCAGCAGACATCAATTGTTACCTGCCCTTGTTAACCTCCTCCTCCTTCTGCCCTTTCTCCACCGTCCCACTGCCCGGCCCCCCAGATGCAACGCGATGCGTTTGTGACGTCGCTGGCCAAGTTCACGTCGCTGCACTCCGCAGCAGACATCAAGCAGAAGAACGTGGACGCCATCAAGGTGCGTGGGCGGGGTGGGTTGTGGTGGGGTTGGGTGCGGTGGGGTGGGGTGGGGTGGCTTGTTCTAGGTGTATCATGAGTCAGGTTGCAGTAGTTCACGTCGCTGCACTCCGCAGCAGACATCAAGCAGAAGAACGTGGACGCCATCAAGGTGGGTGATGGGTGGATGTGTCAGGTGGGTGGGTGAGGTGGGTGGGTGGGTGGGTGGACGGTTGGGTGGACAGGTGGGTGGGCTTGGGCAGGTGTAATATGAGCGGACCTGCGATGTACAATTGCAAATTTCAGCAGACCTCAAGCTGAAGAATCTGGACGCCATCAAGGTGGGGGTGGATGGGTGGGTGTGTCAGGTGGGTGGGTGAGGTGGGGGGGTGGATGGTTGGGTGTGTCAGGTGGGTGGGTGAGGTGGGGGGGTGGATGGGTGGGTGTGTCACCTCCAACCACCCCATTCACCTCCCGCTTTCCGCCGCATCTTTTCCCCCTCGCCCTTCCCCCTTTGCGCTCCCCCCCCGACCCATTCCCCTACATCCAGTCTCTCCTGCTGGTAGCAGAGGACGATGGCAACTACCTGCAGGACGCATGGGAGCACGTGTTAACCTGCGTCTCACGCTACGAGCACCTCCACCTCATCGGCGAGGGCGCCCCCACCGACTCCCACTTCTTCTCCGCCGCGCCGCAGCTCCCCACTCTCTCAAACACCACCCTCCCCCAACCTTCGCCCTCTCATCCCTTCCACTGTCGTCCCTCCCCTTTCTGCACCCCTTCCCAACCCCCCACCCACACCCATTCCCCTCCATACAGAGCCTACTGCTGGTAGCAGAGGACGATGGGAACTACCTGCAGGACGCGTGGGAGCACGTTTTAACCTGCGTCTCACGCTACGAGCACCTCCACCTCATCGGCGAGGGCGCCCCCACCGACTCCCACTTCTTCTCCGCCGCGCCGCAGCTTCCCCCGCTCACCCAGCAGCAGCGCCCGCAGCCGCTGGACCCCCAGGGGAAGAGGGGCGGGGGGAGGGGGGTGGCGGCGTCGGTGTATGGGGGCGGAGAGGGGCGGGGGATGGTTGGGGGTGGGCAGAGGGATGCTGGGACGCCGCGGGGGAGTGCAGGGGATGCTGGGACGCCCAGGGGGCAGGCGAAGAGGTTTGGCGAGGGAGGCGAGGCTCCTGCCTGGAAGAATGTGAGTTTGATGTGAATTGCAACTTGTAATTCACTTTTGAGGCGCCTCAGAAGTGGCCAAGGGGGCAGGCGAAGAGGTTTGGCGAGGGAGGCGAGGCCCCCGCCTGGAAGAATGTGAGTGGAAGTGGCTTGCAACATGAGTTTGCTGCATGACTCGCAATGTGTGTGCCCTGTTTATGGCTTTTGGGGCGCTTAAAAGATCGCGCGATGTGTGTGCCCTGTTTATGTGACATGGTCTCCCCCCACTCCCTGCTTGCCTGCCTGCCCTCTCCCTCCCTCCCCTCCTTTCTAATACCCCCAGGTAACTGGGAAGCTGAACCAGGTGGAGAAGCTAGTGAGGCGAGGGTCATACGACCCACAGGGGATGATCGCCGGAGGACCCACAGGGGTGGGTGTGGGCGTGTCCCTCTCGCACCTCTCCCCCGACCAGGTCAGTGCTTTTAGAGAGAAGCCAGATGGGGCTAGTCCGTGGGAGATGTATGTTGCGTTCACAGGGGTGGGAAGATGGGAACAGATGAATTTCTCTTTCGTGTCGCTCCCTCAGTCAGTCCCCTGTGCTGCCAGATAGCAGGGCTACAGTGCCTTGAGATACGGCACGAACTGTTTCCCCCTCTCAATACTCCTGCCAGATAGCAGTGATAGAAATGGAGCTGAACTGATTGATTACAATAGAAGGCACTAGGCCTTTAAGTACAAAGAGGGTTGAGTTGAGCAAAGCTAGGGAAAGGATGGGATGGGAATTCCAAGCAAATTTTCAATGGTGAGTTAGCAGACTTGTTGGATTACGGGGGAATCTTAACCAGATAGGGTTGGGATTACAAATCTACACCCAACCCACAAATGACCTACAGCATATAAAATAGAGTACACAAAGTGTTGACAGCCTATTTCTAACAAGCAGGGCCTACAGGGATAGATTATGTGAGATGCCATATGCCCCCTTCTCTGTCCCAAATTCTACTTTCCTCATTTCCCCTCCGGTTCTTTGAATCACAGGTGCAGCTGTTGGTCCCTATCCTAGGCCTACTGGAGCAGGTGGGGTCAAACGAGGTTGCTTTCTCTCTCTGGCAATATATGCATCTTTCTAGCGTCACTCCCTCTTCCCACACTCCCCCTCCCCCCCTACTCTCTTAATCACAGGTGCAGCTGCTGGTGGCTAACCTGTGTCTGCTGGAGCAAGCGGGTCGGACGAGGTCTCTCTATCTAACCTTGTGTTCCCTATCCCAACTCCATTCGCCTTTGCAACGTCCCCGTCCATCTTTGTGAATCACAGGTGCAGCTGCTGGTGGCTAACCTGGGTCTGCTGGAGCCGGTGGGGTCAGACGAGGTCTCTCTCTAAACATGTGTCCCTTTTCCCAACCCCGCTCCACCTTCTCTCGTGTCCCCGTTTTATCACTTGCACCACTACAGGTGCAGCTGCTGGTGGCTAACCTGTGTCTGCTGGAGCAGGTGGGGTCGGATGAGATCAGGCCTCTCTATTGAACCATGTGTCCACATCCTAACTTCGTTCCCCCTTCCAACATTCCTGTTCATCACCTGCACAACTACAGGTGCAGCTGCTGGTGGCTAACCTGGGTCTGCTGGAGCAGGTGGGATCGGACGAGGTATCGCGTCTCTTCTCCCGCAGCGAGCGCCTCAACGGGCAGGCGATAGTGGAGTTCGTGAAAGCCCTCTGCAAGGTGTCTCTGGAGGAGCTGCGCTCGCCCACGGAGCCCAGAGTCTTCTCTCTGACCAAGATCGTCGAAATTGCGTAAGCTTTCCCCCCTCCCCCCCCCCTTGAATGCACCTTAGAAGAGACAATACCTCAACGGGCAGGCGATAGTGGAGTTCGTGAAAGCCCTCTGCAAGGTTTCTCTGGAGGAGCTGCGCTCGCCCACGGAACCCAGAGTCTTCTCCCTGACCAAGATTGTCGAGACTGCGTGAGCATTCTTCCGCCCTCCTCCCCTAGAAAGCACCTTTAAAGGCAGCGCCTCAACGGGCAGGCGATAGTGGAGTTCGTGAAAGCCCTCTGCAAGGTGTCTCTGGAGGAGCTGCGCTCGCCCACCGAACCCAGAGTCTTCTCTTTGGCCAAGATTGTCGAGATTGCGTAAGCTTTCCCCGCCTTGAATGCACCTTAGAAGAGACAATACCTCAATCGGCATGCGATAGACAGCCTGCGCCAGCTCGCGATGAAGTTCCTCGAGCGAGAGGAGCTGAGCAACTACAACTTCCAGAACGAGTTCCCTTAGCCCCCACCCCACCCCGACCCCCGCCTCCCTCCCAATTTCTCCCTCCTTGTTCCCCGACGCAGCCACTTCAACATGAGCCGCATTCGGCTCGTCTGGTCGCGAATCTGGGCCGTGCTGGCAGACTACTTCGTGACGGTGGGATGCATGCCGAACCTCTCAGTGGCCATGTATGCCATCGACAGCCTGCGCCAGCTGGCCATGAAGTTCTTGGAGCGCGAGGAGCTGAGCAACTACAACTTCCAGAACGAGTTCCTCAAGCCGTTTGTGGTTGTGATGAGGCGCACTGCGAGCGTGGAGATCCGGGAGCTGATTATTCGCTGTGTGTCGCAGATGGTGTTTGCGCGCGTGGGGAACGTCAAGTCCGGCTGGAAAATCATGTTCATGGTGAGTCGGAAAGGGGGTGGATAGAGGGGACAGGGAAAAACCGAGTTTTGAGTTGGCTCAGATGGTGTTTGCCTGCGTGGGGATGTTAAGTCAAGGTGGAGAATCATGTTCATAGTGAGTCAAGGGGGAGGGGAACAGGGGAGAGGAGTCACAACAGTGGCTTTTGAGTCGACTTGAAGCTGTTCGTGGTGGTGATGCGACGGACAGCCAGCATGAGGATTCGCGAAAGGGGCAGGGAAGGGGATTCTGCAGCTTGTATGGATGGATGCTGAATGTGGTGGGGCGGGTTTGGGAGGCTAGGGTGAGGGTTGATTGTGAAGCTTTGGTGGAAAATCAGGTTTAGAATGATGAAATGAGCATCGGCTCCTTGAGATGTTCCACAGCTAGTGATGCGATATTTGAGGCACCTCAACAATCGCCGTACTACACACAGGTTTAGATTGATGAAATGGGCATTGGTTCCTTGAGATCTCTCACAGCTTTATGTCCTTATCCCTTCCTCACGCTACTCTTCTCCCCATTCAGGAGTTCAACACAGCAGCCACCGATGACAACAAGAACATTGTCCTTCTCGCATTCGAGACAATCAAAAAGGTCGTGCGAGGGTACTATCCCTACTTTTTGACATCTTACCACTTTTCTACTCTCCCCCCTCCTCTCCACCGTCTGTCTCCCCATTCAGGTGTTCACCACAGCAGCAATGGACGACAACAAGAACATCGTCCTCCTCGCATTCGAGAAAATAGAGAAGGTCGTGTGGGAGTACTTCCCCTACATCTTCGTACTTTTCTTACCCTTGTTCTACTCTCTTCCCTTCTCGTGCCCGTCTGTCTCCCCATTCAGGTGTTCACCACAGCAGCAACCGACGACAACAAGAACATCGTCCTTCTCGCCTTCGAGACAATCGAGAAGGTCGTGCGGGAGTACTTCCCCTACATCACCGAAACCGAGACCACCACCTTCACCGACTGCGTCAACTGCCTCATCGCCTTCACCAACTCGCGCTTCAATAAAGACGTCTCCCTTAACGCCATAGCCTTCCTGCGCTTCTGCGCGCTAAAACTTGCCGAGGGGGACCTGGGAGCGACGGCACTGGAGAGGGAGAAAGGGCTGAGCCCCACTAAGGTGTCGCACCTGCCGGGGCACCCGGATGGGGAGGAGTTTACTGATAAGGACGACCACCTCTACTTCTGGTTCCCGCTTCTCGCTGGTGAGTGCCGATGGAGTAGGGTAGACTTACAATTTGTTGTGTGTGTGTACCTTTGTAAGGGGATGACTTTTGAGTCAGCTATGGACTCACCTGCTGGGGCATCTGGATGGGGAGGATTTCACAGACAAGGACGATCATCTTTACTTCTGGTTCCCGCTCCTTGCTGGTGAGCGCCGATGTAGTAGGGTAGACTTAGAATCTGTTGTGTGTACCTTTGTAAGGGGATGACTTTTGAGTCGACTCAGGACACACCTGCCGGGGCATCCGGATGGGGAGGAGTTTACAGACAAGGACGATCATCTTTACTTCTGGTTCCCACTGCTTGCTTGTGAGTGCTTGTGCTGCTAAGTCTCCTTGCTCTCAATCCTGCAGGCCCGCTCATGTCCCTCGCCACTTATGTTTCAGCTCCGTGCATGGTAGTTGTGATTCTGGCAGGTTAATACTCTCTCGTTGCTTCTCCACTCCGACCGCCTCCTTGCGCCGCTTTCGAGTCCGGGTGTGTTTGGGGTCTGGAAGACTTACTCCCTCTCTCCCTCACTCCCTCTCTCCTTTGTTCCCTTCCCTCCTCCCAAATTTCTGTCCACAACAGGTCTGTCGGAGCTCACTTTTGACCCCCCGGCAGACATCAGAAAGAGAACATTGGAAGTTCTCTTTGACACTCTGCGCTTCCTCCCTGCCTTCTGCCACCCATCCCCACCAGGCTTATCCGAGCTCACCTTTGATCCCCGTCCGGGCATCAGAAAGAACGCATTGGAGGTCCTCTTAGACACTCTGCGCTTCCACGGCCACATGTTCTCCCTCGCTCCCTCTCTTCCTTGTCCCTTCTCTCCCCTTAACCCCAATCCGAACAGGTCTGTCGGAGCTCACGTTTGATCCCCGGCCCGACATCAGAAAGAGCGCATTAGAGGTCCTCTTTGACACCCTCCGCTTCCACGGCCACATGTTCTCCGCCGCCCTCTGGGAGCGCGTCTTCGAGTCTGTCCTCTTCCCCATCTTTGATTATGTTCGCCGCGCCTCCGAACCCCAGCACGGCGAGCATGGCGGGGTGATGCTAGGAGCCAAGAGAGTCGGCGGCGGGGGAGGAGGAGGGGAAGGAGGAGGTAAAGGAGGGAAGGGAGAAGTGGGAGGGGTGCCGGGAGGAGGGAGAGGGGGAGAGGGGGCAGGAGGAGGAGTTGATGTGCCGATTCACAAGCATTCGCACCATAAGGGCGCGCCGCTCTCCCGCCACCCGTCCACGTCAGAAGACGAGCGGCTCCGGGTGGCAAGAAGCGGCAGTCCTGATCCCGTATCTGAGCTGGAAATGGATGCATGGCTGTATGAAACCTGTACTCTAGCGCTTCAGCTAGTAGTCGATCTCTTTGTGAAGTTTTACAGTAAAGTGAGTCCGCTTCTAGGGAAGATTCTCGCGCTGCTGACGTCGTTCATTCGCCGGCCGCACCAGAGCCTAGCGGCGATTGGCGTGGCGGCATTTGTGCGGCTTATGAGCAACGCGGGAGGCCTGTTTTCTGAGGAGAAGTGGGATGAGGTGCTGACAGCGCTTAAGGAAACGACAGGGACGACCCTTCCTGACCTGGCTGGGGTGGTGAAAGCTGCAGATCTGGAGGACGAGGAGGAGAGGGAGTTGGAGCGGCAGCAGCAGATTAAGGAGGCCAGGAGGTTCGATTTCACGCGGGATGAGGATGAAGAGGAGCAGAGGCAGCAGCATCAGCAGCTGGCTGCTGCGGTTGCTGAGGCGGTCGGTGCTGCTGCTGGGGGTGGTGGCGTGGACGGGGGAGAGGAGGAGGGAGTGGAAGTCAAGAGGCCCATGACGTTGGCAGAAGCTGTGGCGGATGTGCGGTGCAAGATTGCAGTGCAGCTGCTGCTGGTGCAGGTAAGCTCTCTGTTTATCAGGTGCTGCTGCTGGTGCAGGTAGGCCCTCCTATCAGTTGACTCGATAGCCACTGCGTTGGCAGAAGCTGTGGCGGATGTGCGGTGCAAGATTGCAGTGCAGCTGCTGCTGGTGCAGGTAAGCTCTCTGTATACTGTGTGTAGGTGGGTCTTTTGATTACTGTGTGCCACTGCTGTCACTTTTGAGACGTCTCAAAACACTGCTTCAAACACATGGCTGCTGGTGCAGGGTAACCACTCTGCATACTGTGTGTAGGTGGGTCTTTTGATTACTGTGTGCCACTGCTGTCACTCAGGCTGCTGCCTTGAAGAATGCACATGCAAACCGTTCCTTCGCTCCCACCTTCGATTCTCCCCCCCCATCTCGTTTTCCCCCACCATTCCCCAACAACCATCCAGGCAATGACTGAGATATTCAGCATGCACGGAGCAGCCCTCCCCTCCCCGCACACCCGCACACCCGCACACCCTCATCCTCGTCCACTCCTCCTCCCTCCTGTTCCCTTCCTTCCAATCCCCCTTCTTGTTCCCATCCAGGCAATGACGGAGATATTCAGCATGCACGGAGCGGCCCTCTCCGCCCCGCACACCCTCATTCTCCTCGACTCGCTCCACCGAGTCGGCACGCACGCCCACGCCATCAACTCCGATCGCCTGCTGCGCTCGCGCCTACAAGCCCTCCACCTGGCGACTCAGATGCCCGACCCGCCACTGCTGAGGTTAGAGAGTGAGGCGCTGCATGCGTACCTCAGCCTGCTGCAGCGCCTGCCCCGAGAGAAGGCTCAACTCGCTAAGGAGGTGGATGTGGAGCTCCGGCTGGTGATCCTCTGTGAAGAGGTTTTACGGGTACGTGCTTTTCTCTCTCTCCTTCTCTTCTTTCTTTGCCCGAGGTGGGTCTTTCTGTGCGTGGGAAGTAGGTAGGCTGTGGGTCAGGCAGAGGGGCACGGGCTCGCCAGGCCTGCAAGCCCTCCACCTGGCGACTCAGATGCCCGACCCGCCACTGCTGAGGTTAGAGAGTGAGGCGCTGCATGCGTACCTCAGCCTGCTGCAGCGCCTGCCCCGAGAGAAGGCGCAGCTGGCCAGGGAGGTGGATGTGGAGCTCCGACTGGTGATCCTCTGTGAAGAGGTTCTCCGGGTGAGTGCTCCTCTCTCCCTTAGTGGATGGTCTTGCCAGGGCTGCATGCGTGACCCAGCTGGCTAAGGAGGTGGACGTGGAGCTCCGACTGGTGATTCTCTGTGAAGAGGTTCTCCGGGTGAGTGCTCCTCTCTCCCTTAGTGGATGGTCTTGCCAGGGCTGCATGCGTGACCCAGCTGGCTAAGGAGGTGGACGTGGAGCTCTGACTGGTGATTCTCTGTGAAGAGGTTCTCCGGGTGAGTGCTCCGGCTTGTCATCCTCTGCAAAAAGGTACTCCGGGTACACGCTTCCTTGTTTCTTTGTCCAGAAGGGTGGTTTTATTTTATGCGGGGAAGGTAGGCTAGAGAGTGAGGCGCTGCATGCGTATCTCAGAGTGCTGCAGCGCCTGCCACGGGAGAAGGCACAGCTGGTTAAGGAGGTGTATGTTGAACTGAGGCTTGTCATCCTCTGTGAAGAGGTTCTCCTGGTACGTGCTTCCTTCTTTCTTGTTCAAGAGGGTCCTCCCTTCTTCGTCTTCCGCTTCCCCCCCTCCTCTCCCCCCCTTTTGTCCCCCTTCGACACTCTTCGTGTGTGCAATCTGGATTCATCCCGGGGTTGTTTGTATGATCCATTTTCCGCCCTCTGTTTCTCCCTTGTTCCCTTCTCTCTCCAGGTATATGTGGGAACGTCTCAAGGCAAGCTCGCACTCATGACTGAAGACCCAAGAGGAGCAGACGCCCCGCCCCTCCCTCCCATTCCTCTCGCCGTACCTCTCGGCTCGGCTCGGCGCCGGGAGCTGGTGGCTCGGGCGCCGCTGGTGGTGGCCACACTGCAGGCGGTTACGGCATTGAAGGATGCAGCGTTTAAGAAGCATCTGGCGAGGTTCTTCCCGTTGCTGGCGGATTTAGTGAGCAGCGAGCATGGGTCGCCGGAGATTCAGGTTGCTTTGAGCAAGATGTTTTCGTCAAGGATTGGCCCTATAGTTTTCTCTGTAGCAGAGTGACTAGTCTAAATATAGTAGTACTGCAGCACTCTGTTTGACAAGTGAGATAAACATCAGGTATGGGACTTGGAGCTAATGTGAAGCCTTGGAATTTTCAGTCAGTCAGGCAGGCAGGTACCGGTACTGCCAATGCCAGCTGGGTACCAACCAAAGAGGATGCCTCTGTAGGAGATTGCTCAAGCGCCTTATTTGCTTTTGTGCTTATCTAGTATAGATGCAATATTATCTTACACCTTTTCCCATTTGAAAGATCCGTAATTTGTATATTTAGTCACATACAGAATCTGTATAGGTCAGCTCCACAGAAACGCAGGACACACGGCGATCCAAATCCGCTATAGGCGGTACTGTATAACGAAAATTAAAACACCCCAAACTAGCTGGCCAGAACCATGATATTCTAGAAACCCACCTAGAACGACACAACTCCGCAGTTCCAACTAAGCAACGTACGGATATGTACTTAGCGCATGTGATCAGATCAGATCAGATCAGATCAGACACAATTGAAGCAGAACCCCCGGTTCCGCCACACGCCCCATCCCTTAGGCCCCTTCACGAACTGGCCCCGTGCCGCGCCGTCCGCAAACGCGGCAGTCTTAACAAGCCCATAGTACGACCCCGGCGCTTCCAGAAGGTTCTGCATGGCCACTAAGTACGTGTCGCCCTGGTCATTAGTGCGCGACGACGCGTCGCGAATCACACCCCTGGAGTAATACGAGGACAAATTGTCAAGTGAGTTGTCTTTGCCGCCGCCAAAAAAGCCCCCCCCCCAACCGCGACCCTTCTTCTTTTTGCCGTAGCGATGACCCGCCACGGCCTTCCCAGTGGTGTCCGTCCACGTGATGTCTGTCGTTAAGTCCATGACCACGTTTCCGTTAGTTCCTTCGGCTCCTTCGTTGACGGTGACGGACGTCGGCTCGCCGGAATCCGTCAGTGCAATGCCGACTTGGAAGTACAGGTCGTAGACGGTGTCGTTCCTGTAACGAGAGTGACAGAAATGGGAGGGTTTCAGACAAAGGTCAAAACGACAAGCATTCTTCGTCGAACGACGCGCGAAAGCGACGCGTTAATATAAATAATAAATGATAATAATAATAACAAAAAATAATAATCTTCCAAGCGCGCAGGGGTATTTCTTACTTGACGAGCACGAGATCGATAACCCCTGTGGCGTCCTTATCGCCAATCGAGGTCCCGCTAGCATCCACCGCCTGTTCTCCGCGAAGCGTCGCGGACGCCGCTCCCGCGATCTTGCCCTTCCCCTTCTTTCCGAATTTCGGCCCCTTCCATCCTCCTCCCTTTCCGCCGCCGCCGCCCTTTCCGCCGCCGTTGCCGCCGCCGCCGCCGCCTTTGCCGCCGCCTTTGCCGCCGCCTTCGCCGCCGTCCTTCTTTCCAAGCGCACCTGACACACGACACATACACTTACGTCAGATGCGAAACGAACGACTTAAATAAAGGGAGCGGGACCATAGTAGCGGAGAGAGCTTACTGGTGGCGAGGAGAAGAGCCAATAGCAGAGACACGAGAAGCACCCGAGTGATCCTCATTGCGATAGATTGCGTCACTGACGAAAACGAAGCAGTGCTAACCTGATATCGCTAACGCGTCAAACCAGCAAGTTTTAAATATTCAGGGTAATTCGCTGAAGCGCAGCTGCACGAGATAGAAGTGCTGTGATTCACGGAACGGAACGTTTATGCTGATAGAGATGGGCTTGGCCTTGTTTCGAGTGGCGCAATTGGTGGCGGAAGAGGAGCGAGAGGCGCGAGCGAGGTTCGATGTGGTGGGGGTGGTTGCTGTGCGGGAGTTGCGTGGGTTGGGTTGAGGGGGATGGGGTGGGGGGGAAATTGGTGGTCGGAAAGTCGGTTCAGAGAGCGGAGCGAGGTTGTTGAAGGGGGGAGGGGAGGAGCGGGAGAGCTAGCGTGTCGTGGTGCGAAGTGCAGTGAATCTACTGTACCAAGCGCGCGGCCTGGTTGGTCAGAGGAGGGCAGGAGTGCAGCACTGCGGGCAGCAATTGCCGTGCCAACAGCAAGCAGCACTGGCACACCCGCACACTCACATCACATCGATGCAAACCCCCGCCGTGCCCTGCCGCGTCGTCCCACTTGCCAATGGATGCATCTCACCTTCTCTTCCCAACAGGGAGAGGTTTGGTTTGGGAAATCCATGACAAATGTTTGAGTAAATACTTCACTTTTGTGAGTTCTTGGGTTAGTATGAGACGTTCCCCGAGTTGTAACGAAAACTGTCCAAGATGATGGAGCGAGAAATTGATTGTTTCGCGTTCTGGGAACCACAAACTTGTTTATGCTGGTTCGTGAGTACCTTTCTCAGCACTGGGGTACAGTAATAAACTGGCCCCACATGCTTTATTCTAATTCGGGAATACAAACTGCGAACTCAACTGCATGAGTCACGATCTCTGTTTGAGCGGGCCTGGTCGGTGTGGTGCTGCTGTTGTGGAGTGGTGGTGGAGGCCCATGGATTCTGTTCATCACAAGCCCCACGACACTGTTCATGACATGCCACGTCAGGAGTGTGCAGGCGAAGCAGGTTACCAATTTCGCGAATGCATGCGCGCTGCTGACGATGCGGATTTCTTCCAAACGAAGGGCACAAGTGCTGGTGAGCAGGAGATTGGGGGAGGGATGTGACAAACGACCATGACCTGCGAACCTGGATGTGCGTTTTGGAATGTTTCGCCGTTCATCTCCCCACGGGCAGGCCTCCCTTTCCGTTTCATTTCAAGTCACTCTTCCTGGATGTAGCGAGTGGGAAAATCCTGATTTGTTTGCATGCGGATTTGGTGAGCCATTGTTTTCTTCGGTTCGGAGGCTTGAGTGAGTGACTCGTTTGAACATGTTCTATTTTACTCTTGGATGGCACACAAGGATTCCATCACACATCTGAGTGGAGAGCAGAAGTGCTATCTGAATAAGATGTTTGGAAAGATATACTCAGTGTATAAGTAACACCCATCTTCATCTAGCACCAAATAGAAGAACCGCATTTTGACTTATTTGGCTTCAAATTTGCTTGACCTGTTGCTTCAGTGTGAATATTCCTGCTTTTGAGTACTTTACAAGGAATCTGATCTTGAAGTGATATGTATGTTTTTTACATGTTGATAACAAAATCTGTACAACCTGCTGAGGTAAGATAAAACATGCTGAAACTAGCAGCCCACCAGCTCTTTCTAGGAGCCCCCGCTACGCTTTGTACACTAATAGCTTCATGCAACACGATCGGACACATCAGCAGTTGAACTTAAAGCAGAACCCCCGGTTTCGCCACACTCCCCATCCCTTAGGCGCCTTCCTGAACTGCCCTCGTGCCGCGCCTTCGGGATACATGTCAGTCTTAACGAGCCCATAGTACGACCCGGGCGAGTCCAAAAGGTTCTGCATGGCCACTAAGTACGTGTCGCCCTGCGCATTAGTGCGCGACGACGCGTCGCGAATAACTCCCCTAGTGTAATACGAGTACATGTCCCTCAGAGAGTTGTCTCGGCCCCGGAACATGCGGCCTCCCCCCCAACCCCAGCCCTTCTTCTTCCGGCCGTAGCGCGGGCCCGCGGCAGTCCCGGTGGTGTTCGTCCACGTGATGTCTTCCGTCAAGTCGATGACCACGTTTCCGTTAGTTCCTTCGGCGCCTTCGTTGACGGTGACGGACGTCGGTTCGCCGGAATCCGTCAGCGCGATGCCTACTTGGAAGTGGAGGTCGTAGACGGTGTCGTTCCTGTAACAAGAGGGACATAAACGGGAGATTTCAAACAGGGGTCAGAAGGTCTCGTAATCGCGGTCAAATGACGGCCGAAAGACACGGAAGACTGAATTTGCCCCGCCTCTCCCCCTCCCCATCCTCCAACCCACCCGCGGATCTAAACATGGCCTGTCAAGCGCGCATGGGCCCCCCTTCCTTTCTTATCCATCGCCCACTTCCGAAGTCAAGAGCGCTTCTTACCGGACGAGCACGAGATCTATGACCCCTGTGGCGTTTTTTGTCGCCGATCGGGTTCCCGTTAGCGTCCACCACCTCATCCCCGCGCAAAGTTGCCGACGCCGCTCCCGCGATCTTCTGCTTCCCCTTCTTGGGCCCCTTCCATCCCCCTCCCTTTCCGCCCTTCCCGTTGCCGCCGCCGTTTCCGCCGCCCTTTCCGCCACCCTTGCCACCGCCCTTTCCGTTGCCGCCGCCCTTGCCCTTCCCATTGCCACCGCCTTCACCCCCGTCCTTCTTTCCGAGCGCACCTGACACACGAGCAAGAAAAAAAAATATAGAGCACGTAAGTTATCTGCTTTTCAACAGACCTATCTGTTCGAGGTGTTTTTCTTCCGGGGTCACCGAATTTCTGCAACAGACGGTTATGTCAGATGCGAAAGCGGATGTTCTCAACAGAGGAAGCGGAATCTTCACGGAGGGGGCTTACTGGTGGCGAGGAGAAGAGCCAGGAGCAGAGAGACGAGAAGCAGTCGAGTGATCCTCATTACGATAACCTTGTGCGTCACTGTCGAAAATGGAGCAAAGCCCCTAACGAGTAGGCTCCGAAGTCGCTAACGAGTCAGGCCAGAAAGTTTTGAATATGGTGAGAATAGGGCTGTTTGCTGCAGGCGGAACTCGCGTTGTGCGATCTCAAAAGTGCACGACACTAGAACTCGTGACTGTCGTGAGAAAAATTGGTTCAACTGAGAGAAGTGCAGGTGACAACTTGGGCTGGTCGTGGGAGCCTTTTATGCTTGGAGATTGGGCTTAGGCATTTTTTTAGGGGCGCAATTGGCGCAGGGGGCGCGAGCGACGCGACGCGAGGTTCGATGTGGTGGGGGAATGTGTTGCTGTGCAGTGCGGAGTCACAGCGGGAGTTAGGTGGTTTGGGGGGATGGGGGATGGGGCTGGGGGGAAATGGTTGAAGAGGGGAACAGCCAGCGCGGTTCCAAGTGCAGAGATGCGCATGGTTGGTCGGAGGGCAGTAGTGCAGTACTTCCGTGGCGGCAGCAAACGCCACTGGCGCATCTCATCACACTCAGCACATCCCCGCCGTTCCCTGCTGCGCCGTTCCACTGGCAAGCTGAACGATTACCCCCCACGCGGAGAGGCTGGCGGGGAATCCATCAATATACAGCAAACCCTTAGTTTGGTGGATTTTCAGGTGAATATGAATAAGAACCCCCGAATTTCTTACGAGCACTCTTTAACGAGTGAATGACTGGAAACGTCCCGAGAAAGTGTTATGCTGGGCTCGTGAGTTCCTTCCACTGTAGCGTAATCAATGTCAGAAGTCATGATTTCTGTCGGGGTAACGGAGAAGGGTAATGTAGTGGACCTGGTCATCTGTTGTAAAAACCCATTGATTCTGTTGATTACAAGCCGCACGACACTGTTCATGGCATGGAATGTCAGGGGTGGCATGCGAACCGGTTTCCCGTTTCGCAAATGCACTCACGCTCCTAGCGAACTCCACAAGTGTTAGTGAGCAGAAGATTGGGGGTGAGATGTGACAAACGGCGGTGACCTGCGACACGCATGAAACATGTGTGTGCGTTTTGGAATGTTTCGCCGTTCACATCGCACGGCTTCTGCCGACAAGTGCGTCTTTTTCGGCGAAGCCGTTACACAAAGGCTTTACGAATGCGATTGGATCGCAATGCCACATTTCGCCAGTGGGTGGACGGTCTGGCCGGCAGCAACTCCAAAAAATCGGACGGTTCAGTCTGTTGCTGTATGAACCGCTGGCAAAATCAGGTGCTGGGCGAGACCGTCAGGTTGTTGGTCAGTTTCCGCTGTCGGAGCAAGCAGCCATTCCCAAAATACGCGATACAAATCACATCGTTTTTGTATTAGCCTGGCCTGAAACTGCATTACCTTTCATGCGACGTAACCAAAACACGACTTTTGCACCGCAACCGCCTATATCAACCACAACCACAAACCCCTCTGCCAGTCGCTGCCTGCCATCTGACAAATCCCTGAATCCCGAAACCCAATCGGAGGGTTGCTCACTTGGCGGGAAAATGGCTCCCAGAGTGACTCGAGGATTTGGGTGAGAATGTGTAGTGAATGAGGATCAGATTCATCAGAAGTCTACCTCGTTGAACTAGGGAAAACCCTTCGAGCATTTTAGGTAATTTCTGCTGCGTCTGTGACTTCGTCTAGGGTTCACTAACGTGCTGTGGGTGACTGATTTTAGCATCGCATACAGCCGTTTCCTGGACCAGCAGCGATGTCTGGGTACGATTACCAGGGCTACGGCGATGGAGGAGGTGGTGGGGGTGGAGGAGGAGGAGGGGGATATGGAGGGGGAGGCGGGTATGGCGGAGGTAAGATATCACGCTGCTAGCAGTTCCCTCCTGTAAGATGAATTTTTACTTCCTTTCAAAACGATAGATTTCTTTCTTTCTGCGTCGGAAAGCACAGATCTGGTCTTACAGGCACAATAGAACATCCAGGAGGCTTTTCATCCCTAAATCTTATTGTGTCACACATCAGATCTGCAACGTAAGCTAATCGGCATTCCCATTTCTTTTCTCTGTCTCTCTCTGCTTGACTTCACATGCAATTTTTCCTCCGTTATCTCCATGGCGTGGAAACCTCGATCGAATCGCCCAGGCGGGGGCCGCGGAGGGTTCGGCGGACGAGGCGGAGGAGGTCGAGGCGACGGTGATTGGCTGTGCCCGAACCCATCGTACGGACCGCCCTTAGCTTTTTAGTAACCACCACCTCCTCCAATGCCGGTCGTGGCTCGCAATCTGTAACGTGGTGTTCGCATCGCTATGGCGACTGTCGCATGGGTTGGCGAAAGGTTTTTGGTTGCTTGGACGTTTCCCGGGGTGGTCTGCTCGAATTTTCTCACTTTAATTCAGGTAGGTGTCGCCGCTCTTTTTGCTATTCGCATAGGTTTCGCTCTAATGTAACATCGCTGTAAGTAGTATCGTGACGTCTTTTAGACGCCATAGACGAGTGGCGGTTGCTGTTTTAAAAGGCGCGCTAAAGCAGCTTGCTTGCTTCCAGGCGCAAACAAACTTCATTTTCTAACCGCGATTCTTTCTTGTCCTATGCTGTTCTCATCATGAGTTAGTCGTCCTCATCTTACAGCTTGTTGAATGCCCTCCCTCTCGCGTATCCTGTTCCTTCAACCACTCACCCTCGTCTCCGCCGGTGGCGTGTTTGTCGCAGGTGTGGTAACAATAACTTCGCACGTCGCTCTGAGTGCAACCGCTGCGGCACCGCGCGCCCTGCCGGAGCTGGCGGCGGCGGCGGAGGCGGAGACTTCGGCGGAGGCGGAGGCGGAGGGTATGGCGGAGGAGGCGGGCGCGGAGCTCCGCCCCCTCGGCCCGGCGACTGGGATTGTCCGGGGTGAGTTTCCCCCGGTGTGGTGAAGGATAATTTTTGTGATTATAACCCTGGCCAGTTCACAGTGCTCCAGTCGTCTTCAGGATCAATAGCGCTAGATCCGTTCTTTCTTTTCGTGCAAATTACGGTCACGAACCAGCTTCTTGGTTTCCATTTGAACCGTTTCCTCTTCCCCGTCCCCGTTCCCCGTCCACCGTTCCCCGTTCCCCCGGTCCCTGTTCCCCGTTCCTGCTCCCCATCCTCTGCTCACCCGTTCCCCATTCCCCCTTCCCCCGTCCCCCGCCCGCGGTTTCCCGTTCCCCATTCTCCGTTTGCCCGTTCGCCGTTCCCCGTTCGTGTTTTCTCCCACCCAGTTGCGGTAACAACAACTTTGCCCGCCGCGCCGAGTGCTTCAAGTGCGGTACGGCCCGTCCCGCCGACGCGGGCGCCGGCGGTGGCGGCGGCGGCGGCGGCGGCCGGTATGGCGGCGGAAGAGACGACAGGGGGGGTGATCGCTACGGGGGTGGGAGAAGCGACGACAGGGGGGGAGATCGTTACGGTGGGGGGAGAGGGGACGATAGGGGCAGGGGCGACGACAGGGGGAGGGGGGATGACCGCGGGAGAGATGACAGGGGAAGGTCGGACGATAGGCGCGGGGGGGATGACAGGCGCGGCGGGGACTACGGGTCTCGCGGAGGAGACCGCGACGGGGGGCGTGGGGATGGGGGCCGGGGGGGCGGAGATTATGGCGGGCGCGGTGGGGGAGACTATGCGCGGGACGACAGAGGCGGTGGCGGAGGGGGAGGGGGTTCCGCGGGCGGGGGATACGGCGGAGGAGGGGGATATGGGGAGGACGGCGGGGCGGACAGTGGGGTCGGGGGGGGAGCGCCGGGGGTGAAGCAGTGCGACGAGAATTGCCCCCCGGATTGCGACAATGCGCGGATTTATATTTCCGGTCTGCCCAAGGACGTCACTGTTGACGAGCTGTGCAACCTGTTCGGCGGCATTGGGATGGTGAGCGGTGGTGATGGGTGGTGGTGAGGGATGGAGAGGGGTGGTGAGGGGTGATGAGGGTTGGTGAGGGGTTTAGCGGGGTTGAAGTAACTGAGAGAGGGTTAGTGAGGGGTTTTGGATGGAGATGGAAGGAGGGGTTTCATGATCTAAATCAGAGTTCCACGTACGCGGCCGAGTACGAAACATTATAGCAAAACGAGAAGACAAAAAAAGAGAGAAGAAATGTACGAATGTTTTAGGCGCCTCCAACTTTCCCCTTCCCCTTCATCCACGCGCCCAGATCGCGCGAATTAAGCAGACGCGCGGGTACAAGGACCAGTGGACTCTGCCTCTTACTTATGACCCTCTACCTACACAACCCGCCCCATCTCCCTACCCCCTCCCCTCTCGTCCCTTCCCCCTCCCCTCTCCCCTCCACCGGTCCCCGCTTCCGCGCTTTTTTCTGCCCAGATCGCGCGCATCAAGCAGAAGCGCGGGTACAAGGACCAGTGGCCGTTCAACGTGAAGCTCTACACGGACGAGAGGGGGCAGAACAAGGGCGACGGCGTGCTCACCTATGAGGACCCACAGGCCGCCCACAGCGCTGGTGGCTTCTTCAACGGTGAGATGGGTGCTTGTGCAAACGGCCGTTCAACATAAAGTTGTACACGGACGAGAGGGGGCAGAGCAAGGGCGACGGCGTGCTGACATGTGAGGACCCTCAGGCGGCCCACAGCGCCGGTGGCTTCTTTAACGGTGAGATGGGCGCCCGTGGGACCCTCCTTGGTGGGTTGGTTGGTGTGCTTGGTGGGTTGCTGTAAGAGAGTGTGCTGGGTGGGTTGTGCTTGGGTGGGTTGAAGGCGTGAAGCTCTACACGGACGAGAGGGGACAGAACAAGGGCGACGGCGTCCTGACCTACGAGGACCCCAGGCCGCCCACAGCGCCGGTGGTTTCCTCAACGGTGAGATGGGTGCTTCGTGATGGGTGCTTCGTGATGGGTGCTTGGTGATGGGTGCTTGGTGATGGGTGCTTCGTGATGGGTGCTTCGTGATGGGTGCTTCGTGATGGGTGCTTCGTGATGGGTGCTTCGTGATGGGTGCTTCGTGATGGGTGCTTCGTGATGGGTGCTTCGTGATGGGTTGCTTTGGGACCCTTTTGGGTGCGATGGGTACTTGTGGTTAGCAAGAGGAGAATCCACCAGCACTCTGATTTTTCCTATTCCACCCCTTCGGCTTTTCCTGTCGCTTCTGTTGTTTCTGCTTCCCCCCTCCCTTGCACCCCCCATTTGCCTCCTTCTCCTCTGTTTCTCTCTCTCCTTCTCTGCTTTCCCTTCTCACCGCTTTTCTGTCCTACTTCTCTTCCACCCCTCTCCTGTCTCTCTCCCGCCTCTCCTGACCTCTCTCTCCTGCTTCTCCCCTTATTCCCCCCCTTCCTCCTGCCCCAGGTCACACCCTGCGAGGCAGCACCATCAAAGTGGGAATGGCCGAAAAGTCAGCTCCGCGGCCGGGAGGAGGAGGCGGACGAGGAGGGTGAGTGGTGCAGTGGGGTTTGGGGGGGTATTTGGGGAGGAGAGGAGGACGAGTGGGGGCGATTGACGGTTTGCAGATAGGGTGAGAGGGGGCAGAGGATTGGGGGTTGGGAAGAGGATGTTGAGTGGCGCCATGGGGGGGGGGAGAGGAGGGTGAGTGGCACAGGGGATGGGGAATGCTGAGGGGAAAGGTGATCGAAGCGGCGCTTTACGGCTTGATGATGCTATCTGTGTTGTGTTGTCATTTGTTGCCATTGCTGTACCGTGCTGCGCTCTCTCCCTGTCTCTCGCCCAGTCCTCCCTCGTTCCTCTCTCCTCCCTCTCCCCTCTGTCCTTCCTCACTCCTCTCTCCTCCCTCACTCCTCTCTCCTCCCTCTCTCCTCTCTCCTCCCTCTCTCCTCTCTCCTCCCTCACTCCTTTCCCTCACTCCTTTCCCTCACTCCTTTCCCCCACTCCTTACCCTCACTCCTTTCGCTCACTCCTTCCCTCACTTCCTTCCCTCACTCCTTTCCCTCACTCCTTCCCTCACTCCTTTCCCTCACTCCTTCCCTCACTCCTTTCCTCACTCCTTGCACGTTCCATTCTCCGCTCCGCAACTCACTCACCCCTCCCCATGTGTCCTCTGCTGTTGTGTGTTCTGTGTCCCCCATGTGGCCTGTGTCCCCCATGTGTTCTGTGTCCCCCATGTGTCCTGTGCCTTGTGTCATTGCAGTGGAGGCTTCAGGGGAGGGCGAGGGGGGTTCGGGGGAGGGGGAGGCTTCAGAGGGGGAGGGGGGCCGGACCGCAGGGACTTTGACAGGGGGAGGCCGCGCCCCTACTGAATGGGGATGTCGTCGTCCCTACTGACACCCTTTTTCCCCCCTTCACCGTCCATCACCACTGCCATCACCATTACCACCCATCACCACCACTCCTACCTCCTCACGCAGCCCACTCGCCCCCATCTCCTGTTGTGCCTGCCTTCTTGAGTTACCAGTAACAGTGCAGCGTTGACTTTCTTGTCACCATGGCTGTGTTATTTCGAGAATAGGATAGTAGACTAGGTCTATGGTATACTGTTCGGATCGTGATAAGAAATCCTCGTAAATGTGATGTTAAGATAGTGGGGTTTTGGTTTCTCTTCCTCCATCCCCGGAAAACAATATTGTGGGGCTTGTTGTGGACCTTGGTGCTGCATGTCAAAATTCGCGTCCCATACCACAATTGGTCCCGAATGTTGGAAACAATCGATCTTAAACGCCTCTGTCGTGTCGAAACACCGAGACACAAGTGAAGCAAGATATATCGGAGCACCCGCGAGTCAACCCTCGGAGGTTGAAGTAACCGCTGGAGGTTACGCGAAAGTCAAAGGTCAGCGACCTTTGACCTGACAAGTACAGCGCGACAGCAAGGACACACAACTGACTCGTTACAGAGCAGTTGCCCGAGTCGTCACTGTATCGAACCGCAACAGCAACAGTAAAGTAGTTATAACTATATCTCTTCGTATTCCTTGTACTCTTATATAATCCTGTATCTCCTTGCTTTAATTAATCTACTTTGCCCTCACATACTAGCGCAAGGTGGATCACAAATTCTTCACTAAAAGCTTCCGCTATTACAACAAGTTCCACTCAGAGTTCACCCCTGCAAAGATCCTAAGGGCTTTTCTCAGCCCAACATGGTATGAGAGCTATCAGGGGGAATTCAACTACCAAGACACCTACAACATCAGAAGGCATGGCTACTCAGAAGGAAAGGAGTTCCTCTGTTTGATCTCCCGGCACTACTCCTACTCCACCTCCTGCCTCTGGCCTACAGACAGAGGAAGGTACAGCAACAAGACCAAGGGCAACATCTACTGAGACTCCAGCAAATCATCCTGCAGGCCTCGACCAGAACATGATGGATAATTTTTTCTCCTTCATGTCCTTCTACGAGCAACACCAGCAATCGGTACCTGCGCAGTCACACAACAGCAACAACAACAACGACGTGACTCCAATGAGCCTTGATGGTTCATCCTACGCACGTGGAAATCAACAGCAACAACCTACCTTTGCTCCATACGAGCCCCAGCGCGGCTCCGTCAGCTTCATGCCACAACCTGCACCTGGACAAGAGAAGACACTGGACGCGCTACAAGTTCAATCGCAGTTCGCGCACCCTTTCACACTCAGCGACGCTACAACAACAACAACAACAACCGACAACAGCCAAAGCCCGTACCTCCATTCTGCCACATCTGCAAGACGTCAGGACATCCACGCACACACTGCCCGAATCGACAACAGTCAAATCCACCGCAACGACAACTTCGACCTTCAAGCAGCCAAGTGGCATCAACGCAGGCGAACCCCACAAGCCAGTCGCAGTCTTCAACGACACAATCTGCACAAGGAGCAAGAAATATCATCAGCTGCATGGCAAGATTGTCAGACTCCTGCATCACTGAATCACCACCGTACTACTCACCAGAAGAACAACTTGAAGAATCCACTCCTCGTCATGAGACACTGGAGCCGAACCCGACATACGCAGCCATCGCCCAAAGCGAGCCATCCGGGACAGACACTTGGTTCTTGGACAGTTGCTGTGGACAGCACATGTGCTCCTCGGGACGCTTCGTTCAACGAGAACACCAACTTCAACGCGAAGTTGTCATTACAGTCGCCAACAATCATAACCTGCGCACACGACGACAAGGCGTAGTTCAACTTCAGTCAAGGGAAACAAACGTTATACTGCAGATGTCAAAGGTACTAATCGCGGAGGGACTCGGCTACAACCTACTAAGTGTCAGCCAGCTGATGGCAAAAGGCATTCACCTTGAAGCGGACAGCACCACCCAAGAATTCAAGCTATATCATGGAAGAGGAGGACTTTACATCGGGAAGGCAGTTCTGAAGAACAACGTCTTCGTTCTTGACTTCGTTCCAGACCTTGGCACCGCCGACAGCGACGGAATCGTCACCTTCACATCTTGGACGCACCCACCAGATCTCGACCCAGACTTCAGCCCTGAAGGATTCTGGTACTCGCACACCATCCCTGAAGCAGAAAGAACAAGAGCGTTAGCGACAATTCAACATTCGGCAGCAGCAGAGACAACATCGGGAGCAGCAAGAGACAACATCGGCAGCAGCAGAAACGACATCAGCAGCAGCAGAGACAACATCGGCAGCAGCAGAAACGACATCAGCAGCAGCAGAGACAACATCGGTAGCAGCGGCAACATCAACACCAATCGCTGGCCCTTCAACGGCACCGATCTTCACTGACGACACACCACCGACACCCGCGCAGCAGCTAAAACCGGCACCACGAGAAGTCCATCGAAGCGCCAACTTCACCGCCAGCTTCTATTCCAACTCCGACATGTATCGGCGTTCACCCGGACATCGCGCCACTGAAGGAACCTGGCACGCAAGAATGGGACACCCAAGTAACACGGTGTTAAACAACACGATAAGAGCAGGCGTACTCGACAAAGACTCTCTACTCCTAACTGATGGCAGAGAGCTTCAGCGAGCCCGTGGAACATGCTTCACCTGTCCCGAAGCTGACTTACCGCACCAACCGTTCGCATCTCACCACAATCCAAGCGCACCAGCTTACGCACCACTCGAGAAGGTGTACAGCGACATCCTGTACAACCGCGAGCCCGGACAAAACGCCTACAACTACACCATCACCTTCATCGACGCCGCCACACGATATGTCTGGCACCTAAACCTCCCGAGCAAAGACATGGCCTTCGAAGCCTTCGTTGCGTGGCTCCCAGTAGCGGAACGCGAATCGGGCGTCAAACTAAAAAGCTTCCAATCAGACGGGGGAGGAGAATACACCTCAACGAGGTTCAAGGACTACTTGGCAGAAAGAGGAATCAAGCGACTCATCTCCCTTCCCTACGCTCACCAACAGCAGGGTGTAGCAGAAAGGATGAACAGGATCCTCCAGAACACCATGCGAAAGCTGCTACGTGGCATGCACCTGCCCAACCACCAGTGGCCCGAAGCAATGGACCACGCCGTCATGCTGCACAACTTACTCTCGTCATCATCGCTCCCGAACAACGCATCACCGCATCTGCTGTGGACAGGAAAACTGGGCAGCACAAAAATGTTAAGGGTCTTCGGCTGCATGGTACAGTACCGGCCCCCATCTGCACGAGCCGGTCGATTCTCTCAACGCGCACAGTGGGGACTACACCTGGGCATCGAAAAGCATTACAACGCATGGAAAATTTTCGACGTCGAGACAAAAGAGACAGTGGCAGCACGTGACGTCATTTTCTACGAAACCTCACCCTCCGGTACTACCTCGCCAACTTGCAAGAAGAAAACCCCGATCGCTCCGCTGGCTTTCTCGGCACCCGAGCCTTCGCCTCGGCAGAAGACGAAGCTGACTGGGAAGAGCAGAACGTGGACAGAGCCTCGGAAGAAGCCGGACCTCTCCCTTACTGCTGGGTGGATGTTCCCATGGACGACGAAAATCCACGCGAAAGCATCAACGCCGAAGTCTTCTATCACTTCGCCGACGATGGTTACGTTACACCTGAACGGGTCAACACCAACGAAGCAGAACGCGTAGGGCCAAATTTCACACCTGACCCAGAAGCGGGAGACGAAGCAGTTTATCCCGCGGACACAACACTTCCCTCGATACACACAGAGCGGACTCCAAATCCTTGGCCTCATCACCGCAGTTTACGGAGCGGACATTCCTAAAGAGCCTGCGACGGTTCAGCAGGCTCTGGGGGGGGAGCATAAGGAAAATGGCGCAAAGCCATGGACAAGGAGCTGAAGGCACTGGAGGAACGCAACACGTGGAAAGTAGTTCCTATCGGCGTGACACGGAATAAAACAGTACTCACCGGGAAGTGGGTCTTCCGTGTGAAGACAAAGGCTGACGGCACCATCGACAAGTTTAAAGCTCGCTGGGTCGTACGCGGCTTCGACCAAGAACACGGACGCGACTTCACCGGACATTCGCCCCGGTTAGCCGACACACCTCGCTGCGAATCCTTCTCGCGATCGCCGCCATGAAGAAGAAAAGCTAACGACAAATCGACGTTGCAATGCATTCTCTACGCACCTGTTGACTGCAGAAATCTTCGTCGAGTTACCGCACGGCTCCAATGGAGATCCTAATCAAGTCTGTCAGCTTGCTTGAAGTCGCCTACGGCATCAAGCAAGCTCCGCGGCTATGGCAACAATACCTGCATGCTCGCCTCATTCGCATCGGCTTCAAACAACTGCCGCATGATCAGGG